ATAGATTTTTAACATATTTCTTGCAATTTTGCTTGCAAGTATCCATAATGAAAAAGCCGTTATTTTCCTTATATATATACTGTATAAGGATTGCTGAATATTAATTCCATATTTACTTCTGCTGTCAGATTCTCTGTCTGATTTCTTGAAGATCTAAGTGGACTCCCATACCCAGGGCATGTGAGGTATGGAAGTCTTCCTCAGCCATGGCTTCCATCAAGACTCCACAACCTGCTTAACTAGATTTTATTCACAGAATCATAGAATCATTGTAGAGTTGGAAGGGACCTTGGAGGTCTTCTAGTCCAACCTGCTGCCCAAGGTAGGCGACCTCATACCATTCCGTATGTAGGGAAACACAATACAAGAAGAGGTTGGGTGCCAGCCACAACCCATCCTGCCAGTTTGCTGGAGGGGGATGCTGACTTGATTTTTCTAGGCCTTCACTAATTCAGTATTTGCGCAAAGCCTCGTTCCACTCACTGGGTGCAGGGTGCCTTGACTATAGGTCATGCCAAGTCTTCCAAACAGCCCTGAGCCTACTCACTCCCTTCAGGGAAGGCTTGTATTGCCAACTCCTCACCAGCTTCCAGATTCCCCAAGTCCCTCCTGTTGATGCCTCTGGTGCTCCTCCTGTAGTCTCCTCCTACAATGCTTCCATTGTGTCAGGGTGGGGGTCAGGTCAACATGGTGTTCACTCAGCTGGTGGGGAGACTGGAGTCACAAGAATCTATATGCTGCACATCCACATCCTCATCCCTTGACAACCTTTGCTTGGATCTAGACCCCTGCCCAGGGATTCCGGATAGTTAACTCACCCTCCTCCTCCAAGGCACAAAACACCAGTCCATGTTCCCACCTTTGACCCTATAGATGAAGATGAGGTCTTCCGCTTTTCGTTCTCTTCCTTTCTTATATCAAGCCCCTACCATCCAGCTGGTCCAGATCCTGCCTCTTTGCCCAGGTGTGGGGCTTCTTTTTTCATTTTGACACCCTCCAGAAGGACAGGTGCTAAAATTCAATTGGGCTCACAAGGGGGCAAGGGCAGACAGCCTGCTAGGGGCACCCTCACAATTGTGTATTCAACTGTTGCAACTTAGTGGGATTTCTGCTCTTCATCTTAAACTTGCTAATGCAGGCTAATTTTTTTGTGAAATATGTCAGCACTTTGCCATAGACTGGAATAACAGAAGATGTAATTAATTGATATTGCACAGGGCTTGTGATAATGAGGATACAAACTGGTTGAGCTGCTATAAACAAATTGTATAAATTCCTGTATGAAGCTGCTTTATACAAGGCCAGACCATTGACCCTTCCCGTTCAGCATTGTGTGCTCTGGTTTGCAGCCGCACAGACTGTACTTGGTTTATAGAACACATGCTGAGATGGGCAATGTTGTTGGACTCCAGCTGCCACTAGGCTTCATCACTGCCTTTGCGGATGGGAGTTGTCTAAAACAACATACAGTATGGAGGCCACACATTCCCCATTCTGACATACTAGGTTCCAGGATTTTCTTCAACTTTTGTTACTTCTTTCTGTTTTTAATACTTTAGAAATAATATCTAGAATTTAGATAGAAGATTAAGTGAGGAAGGAGTGGTATTAAGAATAATGTTGAGGCTAGCAGGGAAGTATTGTGATCTTCTCTTTCCTCCCCACTGTTGACTATGGATGACAGTGTGTGCATGTGCAATGTACATTATGTATGGTATAAGAATATGCTCTAAATTGTATCAGAGATGACTGCTGAGGATTGGGGAATGATTTAGACTACAACACATTAACAGAAAATCTGTGGTTATCAAATGAAATTCAACTCAAACATTCATAGGGAGAGTAAAGTTATTTTATTAAATCATGCACATCACGTGTGTTAGTGCAAATAGTTCAATCTATACTCCAGAAATTCTATTGTTTTTTATATCTTTACAAAATAGATTTAAAACAATTATTTACTTTTAAAAATGTAATTCTGAAGTTAAGCATTTTCAGAATAATATTTGCAATAACCTATATACAAGAGGTACTGAGTACCACTGGTGTGTATATGTGTTGTGTGTGTGTTTGTGTGTGTGTATGTTACAGCTTCCCACAACTGAAAAGATGAAATGAACAAAAATGACATTTCTACACCTGTGTACTAACATTCCCTTAAATCTAAATGATCCTCCCATTAACATATCCCCAATAGTTTAAGACAGAACTTTTAAAGTAAAATGACCCTCAAAACCACAAAGGCAAATTATTAACTAAAAAGTCTATTTAAATATTTAAGTAGATCCATTGATTGCCATTAAATCCTTTAAACCAACTGCTGAGATAGTCTTCCTATGAATTTTTCATCAGCTGAATTATTTGAATCCGCAATTCTTTTAATAAAATTGTAGACCTTAATGAATAGAGCTGTTGTGCAGTGCAAGCCAGCACTTTATTCAGGTTTTAATTACACATACCCCTATTCATAAATCAACACTTATCTGGTGACATTCATATTAAGGCCATATAGATTGTGATGTAAAGCTCCTAATCATTGACAGCACATTCTTTACGCTTAAATGTTGCATAGAGGACCAATTAGATCATTTTAAACTTCCTGAAGCCTTGTCCATTTTTAAGTGTTCCTTTCCCTAAGAACAGAAGCACTCAAGCACTTCATGTAATGAAGTTATGTGAATGAAAGCACAGTTAAAGAGACAAATATTACTTCCCCAGTTCGGCTTTGATAATAAGTGACTGGAAAAATCATTTCTATAACGTGATATGTGAGAAAATATGTTGGGTTTCATAGTGACTATATACATACGATTTAATAAATTACATTCAAACTAAAAGTTGGATCACTGCACTATGTCCATCAGCAAATCAAGATTTTGCTCCCAGAAAAACCTTAGTTCACTCAGGCACACACATGCACACGAAAACAGTCTAGACTGATGCTTTCCATTCAGTTTCTTCTAGAGCTCTTTAAGGCTGACGATGAATTATACTAATTCCCAAGTCATCAACAAAATAGAACCTTTGCTGAAGAAAAAATATTTGTTTCCATCAGAAGACTTGGGGAAAATTGTTCCCGATAGCTCAGTGACTCACAGCAAGTTAAAAAAAATGGTATGTTAATGTACAAATAAAGTCCAACTGAAAGGCACTGAGCACACTGCACCTGCTTCCAAGTATTTAAAGGATATTTGGCATGGGCGTCCAGATCAAGGGGGAAAATGCATTGCTTTTAATCTGCTTTTTAAGTAAAATATCCACACACCTAACCATCATAAATAATTTGGTACCAAGAAGCCTACTTTAGGCCACCATAACAGTATTTAGAACTTCAACATACTATCTTAAGAATTACATGAAATTGTAAGCAACTATATTGCTCACAATAGAATGAAATAATAGTTTTATTCCCTCTTTATAGACAGATACATTTTGTACATTTTAAAGCAATGACCCTACTGCTGTTCTGAAGCCAAACTCTGTGGTACTAAGAGGTAAAAAAGGAACAGGATGAATTTCTTTTCCCCCAGTAGATGAATGATGCCAGCTTCTAAAAGGAGGACGGTGTGTGGATGCAACAGTGATTCTCACGGAGAAGCTCTGGTTAGCCCTGGGTACAGCACCATGGCTGTCACAGCTACCAAAGCTGCGATCACAGGCATCCAATGCCATTGTCTCTGTATGGAAAACAAAAAAGAGGGGGGAAATCAGTATTTCATTTGATTTAGCAGACACAGTTTTGTTAACTGCTCAAGTTTCTGGTGCTCTAAAATGTTTTCCAATTGATCTCAGTTAAGAAATGTTTTGCTAGGCACCCAGCAAATGTTTGGGTAAGTGAAACAACAATTCCAATGGACTCAAGTCCCTGATGTGCCATCATTAGGTTAATAATTGGATAATATTATCCTTTAACTAAAGACTCTGTTCAACTTATCCAAACCAATACTATTTGTCCTTTGTGTAAAGCATAGATATAGACCATACCACATTTACACACTTTTCTTGGACATCCTCCAATACATGGCATCAATGCATGAGATGAATTTCAGTTAACGTTTAACCATACAACACTAATCTTTTCTTGCCTAGGTGTCAAATAGATTTCAAATGTAACCGTTGAATTCACATATATATTCATCGTTCCACCTTTAATTCAACTGTGCACTAATTCCATATTGAGGACTGTGCTCTTACAGAATGTATTTTGGAAGTAATAGAATCCCTCCAAGCTTAAGCTGCAAATGCAAACTCACCCAGCAGTTGTCCTCATTTTATCTTTCCCCCCCATCTTTCTTTTAACATAATAGCAAGAACAACAAAAAGCATTAAAATTCAGAGAGAAATGGCTGAATTATTTGAGGGTAAAAAGGAAATCAGAGACCAAATTCAAATATGTGAACTCCTCATTTGTTAAGTTGAAATAGTTAGTTTTTTTCCAGACCCTAACTCTGCAAGACAAACGTGTTAGAAGACAAACAGTCAGAAACAATTAGCTTACAATCAGACACTGTTAGCACCAGCACAAGGAAACCAGACAGATGTTAAATGATTAGTTTGTTTGGTTTGCCAGCATCACACATAATGGCTTATTAAATGAGGGGTTTGAATCAGGTGAATGAGTACCTGCTTTTCACCATGCACTGCTTTAACAAAAATGGCACAAACAGGTGATAGGGACAAACATACATGGACTGAATAGTGCTTATAGTACCTTTCTCTACCACAATGGGCTGTAACACCAAAACAGGAAAGCCAGGATTAGGCCGATGAATACGGCTGGGACGGGTGGTAATATGGAAGGCTAAAGGGAAGGGAAGGGATATTAAAATCATTTTGTGCTACAAAAGTCATTTAGGTAAAGATGATTTAGGTAGGGGGAGAGTTCAAAGATCAAGTTTTGTTTCAACTGAAAAATTAAAGACATCTAACAAGACACAGCTACTCTGGTATACAAAAGTTAGTACACCGTTGCACAAAGTAAACATGGATATTGAAAAATAACACATTTTCCCCTCCAGAGTAGGTCCGTATTATATTTAATTTAGTATTTTAGGGCAAAATGAGGCTGAAATTCATCTTGTAGACTCTCTAAGTAACAAATCACTCTTATATTCTATATGCACAATAAACTCTAGTATTTTCAACCCATACTCAACTCAGGACATTCCCATGACAAGCAGGATATTCATCTTTTGATATTTGTAACGTTTTAAAATTCTCTTCGTCAAGTAATCTTCCTCTTCTCCTTTTTACAATTGTAAGAGAATAATCAACTCTCTACTCAATGTTTTAATTGGAGCTAAGTTCCACAGAACTCCTCCTAGAGGTGCATTTTCATGTGGGGAGAAAGATGTACACCAAGCAGAACACATATGTGTACTGGGACTTGTGTGTCTACCTACAGTCTCAATAGATGAGAGGGTCTCTTTGTATAATCAGTATTTTGACAATACAGTGGTGCCTCGCACAGCGAGGTTAATCCGTTCCGGATTAACCCTTGCTGTGTGAAAGCATCGTTGAATGGAACATAAAATGCCATTCCAATTCGGCCGAATACTCACCGTTCAGCGATGCTTCTTAATGGCTGGCAGCCATTTTCGCGCCCTCCCCTCGCTTAACGAGGGGGGGCGAAAATGCTGCGCGCGGCCATTTTGTAGCCGCGGAACAGCTGATCGGCGGGTCGCAAAGTGAAGGTCGGTAAGCGAACCGCTTACTGACCTTCGCTCTGCGATTTTCCCCCTATCAAGGCACCGTTTTGCAATCGCATTTGCGATCGCAAGACGGCATCATTTCACGGATTTGTGGCTCTACGGAGCAACCGTTGTGCGAGGCACCACTGTACTATAAAATGGTTGTTGTGGGTTTTTCGGGCTCTTTGGCCATGTTCTGAAAGTTGTTCTTCCTAACGTTTCGGCAGTCTATGCGGCCGACATCTTCAGAGGACAGCACTCTGTGCTCTGGTGCAGTTTGTCTGGGAGTTCAAAACACATAGCAGGACTGAACATACCTTCAGCCCTTTTAATCTTCTCTTTATTTCTGCTGTTTCGTTACATTTTTATACAGTTTTATCTCAATGGTACTTTAAGAATGTCTTGCAATGCCTGTTGTAGGCTCTGCTCTTTTTAATTTATTGTTGCTTTTGACCTATCTTTTTATTATACATTGCACTAAGAGCTATTCACTATAGGGTGATTTATACATCTAGAAATTAAAGAGACAGGGCATATAAAGACAATAGCACTTTATACAGACATTCTTATCTGTTCGTACAATAGCAGTTCTATGTATATAGTTTTTTAACAGAATTTGCCTTCACATTTCTTATCAGAGCACCACACATGGCAAATAGAAATCATGGGAAACAAATCCATGTGCTTGCAAGATCAACTGACAAGAACGAAAGGCAGAATAGTGATTAAGAAAAATAAAGTTGTGAAGAAAATAAACAGTTAAATGGTCAAAAAGTCATTGTTCAAAACATCTAGCATTGGGAAACTACTTATCCTAATTTTGCATAATTTTATAACTTGGGACAGACTGGACCAGGTATTCAGAGTCCAACTCAATTCTCTGAGCATTATCACTTCCCCAGCTGAAACGGCAGCAACCACAGACAAGAGGGAACTAGTGGCTGATGCATGGGAATCTCAAGGTTTGCAGGTGGACAAAGCAAATCTTTAGAAAAGAAAAATATTAAAAGCAGGGAGGGAATCCAAGTTCTTAGCACTAAAGACTGTGTATGCTGTAGAAAGGTGAAAAGATCCCCCACCCCAAAAAAACTGGCAGAAGGAATGCAATGGGGTGGCTGGAAAAGAATCCTCATATTACAGGGTAGAAGGGGCTGTGTTTTGGACAGTGACTTGTGAGAACTCTGCAGTACAGCTCCATTGAATACTTTACCAGTAAATCAAATTCAAGTACAGAGTAATGTTGGCTGGAACTACAGGTTCTTGTTGCTTGAAGCTTAAAAAGATGCTTAACCTTGAGTGTGACCAAGACTGCAAGGGGAACTGGTAGAGTGCATAACAACTTTGTAGCACAGCTCCTTGTGTATCCCTATCAACCATTGGATGGTAGGGCTCAGTCAGACTGCCTTACTGCAGTGTTACAGAACAGTCCATTGTTAATGTTGAAGCCCACATGTGGGGCTAAATCTGTTTGGAAATCTCCCAAACTTCCAGTGTTGCAACAAAGGTCTTGTCAAAGCACTTCCAAGAACAAAAGGTATGCAGATTGGTTGAAATGTTCAATACCATGCTTGCATGTGAATAAATATCCAAGTCAGCCCATCTATCTTTGATGCTTGCTTTTTATCCCCCTCAGGCAATGGTTGCATCCCATTTCTACTCTTTGTTCCTGAAGGTCAAGTTATTGCTTATGTAGGCAGGCTGATGATTATGATGATTTGATTTATGCTCTGCTCTTCATGTACAAAGGGGAAGAATCAACCGAGTTGGAAGAACCACAAGATTTCAAAAAGTACAAAAAGTATTTAGAGAAAGAAACTGATTTTGAGGGAAACTCTCAAATAATCCAGTGAGGACTGAGTGTGCTTGGTGACCATAGTCGACTGGCAGTTGGGAAAAAGAATGGAAAATGGATGTGATGGGGGGATGTCCCGCTTGTCTAAACTTTAAACCTATGTTTTGCAGACCCTTTATCAGGAATTCAATGACTGAAAATGCTTTGGGATTCTTTAGGATTGCCATACAGCATAATTCTGTGATACTAAAAATTACTGGAATCATACATTTCCTTGCTGTCTATTTATTCAGGGAATTTTTAAAATTTTGCCCTATAGGATCAAACCAAACAAGCTTATTTATGAAAACTTTCTGGGACACCAAACATTCTTTTTCAAATGTTTATGCACGAGTAAAAGAAACACATGTCAAGATGCTGTGATATGAAGTTTGTTATAACAATGCCTGATGTAGTGAGTTGTTTTTTTTTTTTACTATTTTAAGGGACTTAAAGCAGAGTGTACATTGACTGAACTGAGCATGGAGTAATTCATATTATCATAACGTTGTCATAAGGTAGCACAGGTGGAATACAGTCTAGAATTGATAAAATAATCCCCAGGATTTCTAAGAACTCAAAGGTATGTGTCGCCTTCATTTATGTATAGCTATAGTTAAAGCTGAGCACTCTTGACATCATATTCAAACAGCTTGGATGAAATCTAATAGTAAGTTACAACTAGAAACAGTGGGGATTTGGTGAATCAATTCCTCCACAAGTTCTACTGATTCCATGGATATACACAAGTTGTGACTTAGTACTGGATTTTAGCCAGTGTTATCTTAGCATCTCTTTTTCTACTTTTGTTTCAAAAATAGTTCTCTTTAGAAGCTAGACCTTTAACAGTGGCAAGCTGAAGTCTCGCCCACCTTCTCTTTGAAGACAAGCATATGGGGCCTGATGTTTATTTCTGGGTGAGCTTTACTAGGACTTTATAATAATTTAGTATGATTAAAATTATATCCATCTGAGAGCTTTAAACTGAAAGAAATATTGAACCCTCTTCCTTCCTTCTTTCTCTCCCTCCAACCCACCCACCCACCTACCTACCTACCCACATACTCCCTGCCTTTCTTCCTTTGCTGGGACCCAAGACAGCTCAAAAGAAAATATCAAATGCACGTGGAGGAAGAAGGAAGGGGTATTTCCTATTATTTTGAACAGATGAGTATCTTATGGTACCTACTATTCATATTACACAAATACTGTACAGCTGACTGCATTGTCATGAGATGGATGAATGTAAAGAGACCAAAGGAGCACAGACATCACTTTCCTCTTTACCCTTTCCAACTAGACAAATTATTATTCACTGTGGTCTGAAAACAAACCAAAAATCAAACACCACGAGGGTGGGGGGAGACTATCGCTTCCCCTCCCCCCAGGACAATCTGTCAGGAATATACTTTCAGCCAGTTGTAAAGGTATGGGACTATCATCTCCAGTTTGTTGCAAATTAGTAAGAATAGTTAGATGCAGCAAAACAGCCCTTGAATCTATTGCCATTTTAAAAGTCACTTTAAATATTTAAGTTAGGTAACTCTCCCCTCCCTAAGCCACTCTGGAGAAGGCCCTTCTTCTCTGTCCTACAACCCTCACAATCACATTCAAGTGAGGATGCTACAGAGGGCATCCTCAGCTGCTTTTCCCAAGTTGAGGAATGCTCTACCAAAGAAAGCCAAGTTGACCCCTTCTCCTCCTTCAGATGGCAGGCAAGACCTTTATCTCTAATCAGCTTAAAAAAAAACAGAACTGGAAAACTGAGTTTCACTGTGGGATGCTGCACACTTGCTTTCCAAGTGTGTAGTTTGTTTGTAAATGGTTTTAAAATTAGCAGTATTTTAATACCCTGTTTCCCCGAAAATAAGACCTAATCTGAAAATAAGTCCTAGTATGATTTTTCAGGATGCTCATAAGCCCTACCCCAAAAATAAGCCCCCTTTACGTGAAACCCCGTCCTCCACCACTGTGCAACAACCAAAAGAAGATAATATGACTGTATTTGAATAAATATAGACTGTTTTACATGGGAAAAAAAATCCTCTGGAAATAAGCCCTAATGTGTTTGATGGAGCAAAAATTAATATAAGACCCTGTCTTATTTTCAGGGAAACACGGTATTATTATATGTTTAATTGTTTTTGTAATGGACTTTCACTATGTGTTTAACTGTTAATTTAGTTTTTTTTTTTAACTCTCTGTTTATTTTGTTTTCAGTCCTTCGAGAATTACCTTGGAGCCCTGGCACTGGGAGAAAGGTTTCATAGAAATGAAATATTACTTGTTTGTTTATATACAAAACATACAACAGTTAACGTTTATTTGGTTTGAGAGTTCCCAGTAAAGTAAGACTTGAGACCTACATGTTTTATTATAAACATACTGAGTCTTCCCTATCCCATTATCTTACCTTTGCTGAGTGTTTTTCAGTCTGTAAGTTACCTGTCACAATTGTCTTCTTTAAATCTTCTTTTCACTATGCATAATTTCCTTTCTCTTTCATTCCTAATATTCTAGCAATTTAAGAATGAGACTAGCAAGAAATGCAGTAGGACCGCAGTATTTGCAGTGGATCAGTTCCAAGCCCAACATTTTTCTCCCCCAGAAAGGATCATCAAGAGTTGCCACTATGTTCTGGATAGTACCAGAAACAAGACTAATGTTGGAAAGCAAAATCCAAGAGGAGGAGTCTATAGGAGAATTAATCCACATAGATTTTGCATTTCAACATAGCATAGTCTTCTCCACATTTATTTCACTATAAGCAGAACAACAGCACAGTGGATTGTTTGTAGCACTGTAATGGACTTACAGAAATTTTAGTACAAAAGCAGTAAAAATATTGTTTAAAGAAATTCTTAATATGCTTATGAGGACAAATACTAAAAATTTTATATTGTTTTATATGGCACTGTAACATCTTAGATCTTGCAATATAGGGCTGGATGGATAGATGGATGGATGGATGGATGGATGGATGGATAAATAAATAAATAAATACATCAATCAATTGCAGACTATAGCAATTGGCATATTTCTACAATTTTTATAATGAAAATGGGATTTCACTTTTTTAAAATTGAGCTATGTTCCTTATTTCAATAGGCTACAATCGAGCCAAAGAGGGAGATGATTCTTGTTTTCATTCTGCTCTGATTCAGTGTTATGACAACTGCTTTTTTTAAAAAAACCTCTCCAAATCTACTTCCATCGGATTCACTGCATTAAACACTATGGTTGGGAGAAAGGAATATTACAAGAAGAGGGATTTTTTTCTGCAATCTTTCACTGACTGACCTGGATAATTTCCTAGTTAATACAAAATTAATTTTCTTTCCCATCTCTACCCAGTAATATATGGACCACCTGACACATTGCCAAGCCAGTGATTGCATGCGAACTGTGCAACTTTGCAAAAATAAAACAGACAAAACAAAATTTCTCCTCCCATAAAACACAAACCTGTATACTGTATGCCTAATAAATATGTTCACATGGTGGAAATGGAAGAATGAGAAACTGACGCACACATTATACCAACTTACATGGCTTCCTTTTTCTTGTAGTAGCTTCAGGTTGTCTTTACACTGCTTGAGTTCATCTGTAATTGATTGCTTTTCCTGCTCAGTGATTTCAAACTTCAGTTTCAGCTCTGAGAGTATGGTCTGTGTCTTTTCATACTGAAGGCAAAAAAACCACATTATCTACAGATCCATTTAAACCAGTTATAAGTAGTTAAAGCAGCTTCAGGTAGGCTTCAGCAGTATGTGGACTGAGAACTCTCAGAAGTACAAGCTGGATTTTGAAGGGGCAGAGGAACTAGAGACCAAATTGCTAACATGCGCTGGATTACGGAGAAGGCCAGAGAGTTCCAGAAAAACATCTAATTCTGCTTCATTGACTATGCAAAAGACTTTGCAAACTATGGCAAGTCCTTCAAGAAATGGGAGTGCCTGACCACCTTATCCATCTCCTGAGAAACCCATATGTGGGACAGGAAGCAACAGAATGGATATGGAACAATTGAACAATCAAAATGGAAAAGGAGTACAACAAGGCTATATATTCTCTCTCTGCTTATTTAACTTATATGCAGAAGACATCATGTGAAAGGCTGGACTAGAGGAATCCCAAACCGGAATTAAGATTGCCGGAAGAAATACTGTATCAACAACCTCAGATATGCAGACGATACCACTCTGATGGCACAAAGTGAGGAGGAGTTAAAGAACCTCTTAATGAGGGTGAGAGAGGAGAGCGCCAAAAATGGTCTGAAGCTGAACATCAAAAAAACTAAGATCACGGCCACTAGTCCCATTACCTCCTGACAAATAGAAAGGAAGATATGGAGGCAGAAGGGGAAACTATGGAGGCAAGAAAGATTTTACTTTCTTGTGCTCCATGATCACTGCAGATGGTGACAGCAGCCACAAAGTTAAAAGACGCCTGCTTCTTAGGAGGAAAGTGATGAGAAACCTAGAGAGCATCTTAAAAAGCAGAGACATCACCTTGCTGACAAAGGTCTGCATAGTCAAAGCTAAGGATCTGGACAGCATCTAGGGCCTCAACCAGATGCCATGGCATGTGACCAGTTCGCAGCATACTTTCATTCTAAGATTGAGGCCATCTTCAGGGACCTGGATTCTTGTTAGTGGGGCAGTAAGAAAGATCAAAATGCCTTGTCTTGTCCAGTTTTGTTAGATTAATTTCATCCTGTGATACCCGATGACGCTGACAAGTTCCAAGCCTACCTTCCCCTGATCAGACCTATGTTCCTCCTGGCTCAAAAGCAGCCAGAGAGGGATTGTTGCATGGGCCTCCCAGATCATCAACTCCTCCTCGTGGGAGAGATACCTTCCCTCCTGCCTAAAGGAGATGATGATCAGGCCCATTCTGAAAAAGGTTAACCTTCCATCGGACTATCTCAACAATTATCTCTCTACTGTCAATATTTCTTTCATGGGCAAACTGGTCGAGAGGGTGGTGGTTGGACAGTTGCAGACATTCTTGGAGGATACCAATAGTCTAGATCCATTTCAGTTGGGTTTCAAACCACACTAAGGGACTGAGACAGCTCTGGTTGCACTGCTTGATAATCTTCTCTGGGAGTCCAACAGGGGGAGTGACACTCTTGATTCTCTTGGATCTCTCAGCCGCCTTTGATACAGTTGACCATGGTATCCTCCTGGACTGGCTATCTGGGATGGGATCAGAAGCACAGCGCTGAGCTGGCTTCCTTCCTTGAGGGCAGGTTCCAGAGGGTTTAGCTGGGGGAGGTTTTTTCATCCTCATGGGTACTGCAATGCAGTATCCCACAGGGGTCAGTCATCTCCCCCATGCTGTTTAACATCTACATCTATATCAGGCTGCTGGGAGAGATCATCCAGAGATTTGGAGTTTACTGTCATCAGTATGCTGATGACACACGGCTCTGTATTTCCTTTTCCTCCTCAGTGGTGGAAGCTGTGAAGACCCTGGAGTGCTGCCTGGCTGCAGGTATAGACTGGACAAGGGCCGACAGGCAGAAATTGAATCCTGATAAGGCAGAGACTAGGTGGCTGCTTGCCTGATCTAGATGGGGGTCACATTCTCCCTGAATGATCAGGCATGAAATTTGGGTATGCTCCTGGAGAACCAGATTTCAGCCATGACCAAGTCTGCCTATTTTCCATCTGAGGCAGATTGCACACCTTCACCCCCATCTCGACAGGAAATCCCTAACAACACTGGTCCATGCACTTACAATCTTGAAAAAAGACTATTGAAACACTCTCTATGTGGGGCTGCCCTTGAATGCAGTTTGGAAGCTGCAGTAGATATAGATGGTAGTGGCCAATGATCTCTGGAACTTTGCAGTATGATGCCTCATTTGTATCTCCTTTTCTGTTCTTATTATATTATGTTATTTCATTTTGTTTTATTAGCTGCCCAGAGTATGGCTCTGCCACTAGTTGTGTGGGATAAAAATGTAAACAAACAAACAAACAAATAAGAAAATTATTATTTGAGGTAGACCTCCACCACCATATTATAAGAACAAAGGCCTGTATCTCTGTGTAGCTCTGCTTGCACAATAAGAATTATGCCCACAGCAGAGAGAGATTGCTACCAATTAAAAACTTCCTTTTTAAATTTTGGGGTGCATATGATTTTATATCATTGTGCATGAGTCACATGCAGCCTGATATTTTAAAAAAGGAAAGGTAGTTTGCTGCATCCTGTGATGTCACTCTTGTCATGCAGAATATACAACAGAATATTGTACTGGCTGAAGAATTGCTTCATTTTTTCCCTTGAGTATGTCACCCTACCCAAAGCTGAAAACTGATCACAGACAATGTAACAATTTATGCAGCTGAGCATTTTAGTCCACCATATCTCAGAAATTATTCACATGTTGATAGTGAGACCCAAGTTACAAGCAGTCAGTCAGGTAACTGGACCAGACTTCGTTCTAGGACATGTGAGTTGTGGGGAAAGTATGCCTTGAAAGGCCACAGTGCAAGTACTAATGCCCATTCGTTTGCCTGACAGACAATGTAACAATTTATGCAGCTGAGCATTTTAGTCCACCATATCTCAGAAATTATTCACATGTTGATAGTGAGACCCAAGTTACAAGCAGTCAGTCAGGTAACTGGACCAGACTTCGTTCTAGGACATGTGAGTTGTGGGGAAAGTATGCCTTGAAAGGCCACAGTGCAAGTACTAATGCCCATTCGTTTGCCTGCCACACTCATAAAGTGACATCTAAAATACGGTCGGAATCCGCCGAACGGGAAGAAGAGGACCGACGTCGGTGCTTGGTACGACGTCGATGAGAATGGTGCTTCTTCTTAGAGCGTTTACGCTTAGAGGATTTCGAGTCCGAGCGATCGCTAGAGTCGGACTGAGTGGAAGCTCGATGCCTCTTCTTCGATCGTTTCTGTCGAGGAGACTTCGACCTCGAGCGGCCGGAGGATGGGGACCGACTCGGGGGGCCATGCTTCTCCGTGCGAGAACGTTTGCCTCGAGGAGATTTAGACCTCGAGCGCACAGGTGATCGAGGTATCTTCTCTCGAGGAGATCTCGAGTCCGAGTGTACGGACGAGATCGACACGGGAGGCGACCCCTGGCCCGCAGGAAAAGGGCTATGTGGGGCAGAAGCGAGGCCAGTAGTGACGGCGACTAACTGGCTCGGCGTCGGGGAAGACCTTCCCGAAGGCGGTATCACTTCAGTACGTCGAGCAGGAGGAGGTGCGGGTGCCTCGGCCGAGGCCCCGAAGCGCCTCGACAACTCCTCAAGAATTGGCGATGGGATGGAACCCGAGCTCGGAGAAAGTGGAATAGATGTCATTTTAAGCTGGGCGGCCGCCTTAGCTTTGGACGATTTCGACGGCTTAGCTTTCGGAGCCGGAGGCTCGGGTGAAGCAGGAGCGGCCGATTTCGACGACGCGGATTTCTTCGACATTTTGGAAACTTTGGAGACGACTGAGTGAACAGGAGCTGCTCGAGAAGTGGAAGCCATTTCCCCCTCAGAGGGCGCCGTGGAAGACAACGTTGACTCCCACAGATGAAGTTTAAGGCGCTGTTGGCGAGCCTTGAGAGCGGCCTTAGTGAAGGCTTTGCAGTGTGGGCAAGCTTTGGGATTGTGCGACTCGCCCAAACAATACAGGCAAGTATCGTGGCCGTCTTGATGGGGGATTTTGCGGTCGCACACCACACACCTGCTGAACGGCCCTGAAGGGGACATAGGGTAGTAAGGAAACCGAAACGACAAGTCCAAGGATAAGGCAGAGCAGTCCAAACACAGTCCGAGTAAGCCAGAATATACACCGGGTCGTCAAGTTGAAGGGAAAAAGCGCTAGGGTAGTCCGTGAGCGAAGCAAAGGTCAAAGCCAAAAATCAGATAGATCGCAATAACGCAGCAATAAACGCAGCTAAGACGAGAGGCTCCAAACCGCTAGGCGGAAAAATGGAACTGAGGGACGGTTAGGCTGGGCGTGCGCAGTAGGGGTAGTCCTAAACATTGTTACTTTTCTCTTGCAGCTAGAAAACGTTCCGAGAGGCCCAACGCTGGCGCTGGTATTAACCCTTTGTGTGCATTCACAGAAGACCACGATGAAGAACAATATTTTATCAACTGGCTTATGTTATTTGTAAATAGAACTAGGGTAATGATAGCAATCGCCATCATCGCCACTCTTTAATGGCATGAAAAGACTATAAAATCTTTACTCTTCAAGTAATTTCACCACTTTTGAAAAATAAGAGAATGTATGTAAATGTCTTAGCAAATTCACTACCCTGTTTTCCCGAAAATAAGACCTAACCTGAAAATAAGACCTAGTATGATTTTTCAGGATGCTTGTAATATAAGCCCTACCCCAAAATAAGCCCCATTTCAGTGTAACTTCGCCCTCCACCATGATATAAAAACTGGCATTTATGCAGTATCAACGTAATTATGGAAGGCCAAGCAGAACTGTATCACAGAAAGCAAGTCATAAACAGGAGATAGTTTTTTACATATATAGTAACAGCTCCTTATCTAGGGGGGATTGTTTCCACAATTTACCATGGATGTCTGAAATCACGGATATGAGGGAACCCTATAAACCTGTCTGGGGGGAGGGAGCTCCATTTGTGGGGGGAGGTCACGCTTGCGCAGGGGGCGTATTGCACCTGCGGGGGGTGTCACGTCTGCGGGTGGGGGGTAGAGATCTATATCCGCGGCCCAGTTCCGGCAAGCCCACAGACTGGCATCAGGCCGCAGACCGGGGGTTGACAAACCCTGCTATAAACAATATCCAAGGGTTTGGGACAAAGACCACAAGGGGGCACCCTTGTATGTTGTATATAGGGCTGTGGCAAAAATGAAGATAAGTGAAAACTTGCAAGGAAATTAAAAAACTTCATCTTAAAAATCCATTTAAATTGAATCAATCTGATAGCTACCTCATTTTGAGCATCCTTGGCTTGATTTTCTGCTTCACTAAGAAGGGTTTTTAGAGTAGCTGCATCTTGCTGATGTTCTTCTTTCAGTGAACCCATTTTATTTTCAAGTTCTTTTCGGGTCAATTCAAGAATACTCAAGTCACTGGTAAGAGCTAAACTCTGTTGCTGAGAGCTACAAAAAGAAAGGAATACTGCATGAATAGAAATAAATCATTTTAATCAATCTGTTTGCAACTTCCTCTCCTCAAAATCATGTTTGTATACACTTAAGACACACACACCTACAATGTCCCCTTTACTGACAGACTAATACATTTGTATACTAGTCAACCCTTGACTTACGAACGGCCCGAGTTACGAACATTTTGACTTACGAACCGCTCTCATAGGAAAATACTGACTTGACTTACGAACTTAAATTTGAGTTACGAACTGAAAAAAAACCTGTGCGGGAGGCAGGGAAATTTGAACTGTTAGTTAACCGTTGGCCAGTGAAAAGGGTGCCTGTCTGCTTCCTCACTCTTCCCAGCATTTGGAGAGTGGATTGGGAGACAGTCTTCAGACTGTCTGGTATTGCCTGAACTGTATTTTTATTTTTGCCTATTTTTGGGTTTTTGGATTTTTGCTTTTTGACATTCTTTTTTTTAAGCAGAGTGACTGCCTGTTCTGGGTGAGTACACTCTATGTTTTTACTTTACTGTATGTACTGTACAGTTTTTTTTGCAGCTGTGGGGGTAGGGCTAGGTGGCAGGGATGTCTGTGTCTGTGCTGTTTGTTCAGGAAGGCAGGCATTTTTGTGCTGGAGGAATGGTTGCTGGATTGCTATGCCTTGTTGTGCTGTTTGTTCAGGAAGGCAGGCATTTTTGTGCTGTTTGTTCAGGAAAGAAGGCATTTTTGTGCTGGAGGAATGGCTGTTGGATTGCTATGCCTTGCTGTGGAGGGGCTATGTTTCTGTGCTCTTATGGGTCTTGCAGTGTGGATGTAGATCCAGAGTCTTTTAAAATCGGAAAATATTCTTTGAGTGCATTTTTGTGCTGGAGGAATGGTTGCTGGATTGCTATGCCTTGCTGTGGTGGGGTTATGTTTCTGTGCTCTTATGGGTCCTGCACTGCTTTAAAATGTCTGTGCCTGTGCTTAAAAAGTGGATCCAGAGTCTTTTTGTGCTGGAGGAATGGTTGCTGGATTCTGTGCCATGCTGTGGGGAGGTTACCGCCCCTCGACCTAAGAGCCAGAAACAGCCGGAATGGATTAATTGGTTTTCAATGCATTCCTATGGGAAATGCCGATTTGACTTACAAACTTTTTGACTTACGAACTTCCTTCCAGAAGGGATTAAGTTTGTAAGTCAACGGTTGACTGTACACACAAAAGAGAAAACCCCCAAGTTCTGAGCAGTGTTGATTGCATTTTGTTGTACGAAGCAGAATTTTAGGACAAAATGCTGAATTTTGTATTGGATCAGAGCCATCTGTGTTGCCCCCAACTGAATAGCCCCAATATAGTCAAGATGTTGACTGTGACTGTCTTTGATTATGCAGGAAAAAACGTGCATTCAGAGAATTAAATATTTTAACAATATGCATGGAAAAGCTGGAAATGACAAACAGCTGGCAAGAAAGGGACCTGGACTTTGCTGATGGACATTTCATGCCGTAATAAAAACAAAGGGCTTCTCCAGTACTGGGAGAGTGAGGAAGGTATCTTATTGTTTTTCACCTTTTATTTCTTCTCAGTTCTCTCAGATCTTAGGAGTTTGTTGGCTTGTTTATTTTCACTTTGATTTTGGATTGTTTGTGTTTGTCTGGGCTCTGAGTGATTATGATCCAGTCAGTTTTTAACACGAGGTCTTCCTTTCTACAGTGCTTCCTTTTTGTCAAGCGAGGTAGGAGGGAAGCCCACAGTGCTGCTTCTGAGTGGGCAATCGCCTGAGGATGTGGAGGAGGGAAGTACGCCACTGCTGGTGACTGGGTGATTGCCCAGAGGAGGCTGGGAAAGGAAGCACGTGGCTCCTGTGGAACACTTGTGTGGGTGCTGTGCCACACCGGGCTGAACTGCCAAACCACAGTTCATGCCATCTTTAGTCAGGGGACAAAGGGAAATCCTTTAAAAATGTTTTGTCTGTTTGAGATTTTTAAGGGGAAAATGATGATTATATAATATTCATAGTGACTGTAGTGGAGTTCCAGGTATCTGGAAATTTTGAATTTTTAAAATTCCAAATTTGAAGGGCTATAATTCTGAATCTGAATTTTGAAGCTAGTGCACATCTCTTGTTTATTTTATAAAAGTAAGAAGAAGCTGGCCTCCCTTTGACTTCAACTCTTCAGCATTTCAGCCCTCTTTGCTGCCTACAGACTACTGTCTCATCTAGTCATTCCCATAACTCTGAAAAATCTAGGGAGGTAGAATGAAAATGAGTATCAGGAAATTCTTGACAACATGACAGCCAGGTCAAAATTTCTAAGGTCTCCATGTCTTTCTAACTTCCTGTTAAGGAACAGCCTGTTCTAGTGGCTCTTTTTTCCACTGGTCTTTTCATGGGAATGTAACAATGTTTGAGAGCTTAACAACCAGTTTTTAGCTATACAGTATATATGAGGCAGTTGTATATACACCTCATATATGTATATCTAGATATGCACTTTTGGATTAAATTTGCAAGTGTTACATATACAATACTCTTTGTTAAAACAAAAAACAAAGCAAAAAATCTTTTAATTTAAAATATTTTCCCCCAGAACTAAGCTCAGCAGACATGGTAAAGCACTCCTTCACTAGGTCAACAGTTTGTGAATTTCTCTTATCAGATTTATCAGCACTTACTTATGTAGCTCCTTCTCCTGTCGCTGAAGCTCACATGCAAGTGAAGAGTTCTCCTTCTTTAATGAAAAACATTCGGCTTCAAGAGCACTCCACTCATTTCTCAATTTTTCAAGTTCACCTATAGACAAGTAATGTTGTTGCCTATTAAAATTTATAAGGAGCATCTTCCGAAACTTTCAGTAACACCCACAGATACGTCTTCATACTAGTTGAATGTATTAGAATGTATAAATATTCATTCTCAAGCCTATTTTCCAATAAAAATGTCTATAGTGAGAAATCAGCATCATTATAAACCTAATTTTAGAAATTACTGCTAAGGAATGTACAAACATGGGTGACTGCTAAATACCACTGTAAACTATAGTTACACTCTGCATATCAATCTGAACCAAAAAAAGTACCAGAGGACTGACTGACTCAACTAATCTTCTACTTACAAATTGTGAAATAATATACATTCTCTAGTTGATGTGTAAACGAGCTCCTCCAAAAGAAGTATCATTTTCATGAAGAAGAAAATGATATCAAAAGGTGAACATCATAATTGTGCAAGACACATAAGTCTACTGGGACTTGTGTACCTAAACACAGTCTCAATAAATGGCAAGATATTTTTGTGTAATCTATACTTTGATGATAACATAAAATATTATTTTGCAAGCAACAAAACAACTTTTAGTTCTTTATGCTCCAGCACAGATATTTCACAGAGCACATCCAGATCAGCTTCCCTTGCACTGTGCTCTGTATACATCGTCTTGTAGGGATTCACCTAAAACAGAACATATTGAGGAGACATGGGACTGTAGGAAAGTGAAGCAATCACATCCCCCAAATGTTTTATTATGGTACAAAAAATGGGAGGTTGCTATACGTCACTGTAAATTATGATTACACCCATCATACCAATCTAGTCAACTACAGGCCAAAGCATTGAAAATAAATTATTAATAAGACTTTGTAACACATACAAGCAGCATTACTTAGGATTTCATAAATGATTTTACAGAAGGAAGTATCATCTTAAAGTCATGGAACATTCTAAATCTAGAATTTCCATCTTTACCTACAAAGATACCTTTTTGGTTGTTTTATAGCATAATTGTTACAAAGAAAATTTCAATTAAAAGTGGCCATTCAGTGAACAGATACCATGTGTATGATGAAGTCAAACTTAATATCATAGACTGAATACACCTCATCTCACCACTGCACGTGAGGCGAGCGTCCAATGTGGGGGCAGAATGGGCAAGCTTCAAATGAAACTACAGTGGTGCCTCGCAAGACGAACGCCTCGTGGGATGAAAAACCCGTAAGACAAATAGTTTTTGCGATCGCTATGGTGCCTTGCAAGACAGTTTCATCTATGGCCGTGCTTCACAAGACGATTCCCCCCCCAAGACCAATGCCTCGCAAAATGAAAAAAATTCATTTGCATTGCAAGGTTCCCATAGGAATGCATTGCAATGCATTCCTATGGGAAACCGCTTTTCGCAAAGCGAATACTTTGCAAGACAGCGCTACTCACGGAACGAATTACATTCGTCTTGCGAGGCACTACTGTATTTTAAAAGCCTCTGTAGCCCCTTATAATACAGATTAAAACTTTTTAAAAGTTTTCCCCAGAGAAGCAGTGTAAAAATGCAACACCTTAATGATGATCTGAAGGAGACACAGAAAGCAACTCATGTACCATGTGACTGTCACATTACTTTCAAATTGCAGCAAAAGAGGCCTGTGCATATCTCTGTGCTAATAAGTCGTGTAGATAAGACCTATGATTCTATGATTCTGCTTACTATTGCAGTTTGTTTAGCACTATATGGCTTTTCAGAGAGTAGTGGGGGCAACTTCTATAAAAGGGAGTGGAAAAATCCACCAAAAATACACACATATGCATACACAGAGAGAGTGTTCACTATTATGCACGGTTTTCAGTATATCGGGAGGGCTTGGAACCAATTCCCAGTGGATATGGGGGTCCTACTGTACATAGCATTATCTCCAGTTTACTCTAGTCACCCGTTTTGGTAAATAAACCATGGAAATAGGTATAAATATGTATTTCCATGGTTTTTTATTTATTATTTTCTGGGAGCGGATAAGTGAATCAACAAATGCTGGCCCAGAAAATGGAAAGGGGGGGGTCCCACTGTACTCTTCAATCTAATTTGAATCTACTAAACACTTAAATTTTGCTTCATTCTTAATTTATATTACATTTATTTCAATCTATACAATCATCAATCTGCACAATGAGGTACCAAAAATCTCTTAAGCATTAAAAACAGTGAACACCATACCTTATACGTATTATGAATTACAAAGTATCTCTACTATACCTTGTAAACGGATGGCTTCCTCCTTCTGCTGCTCCTCACACTGCTGACATCGTAACTGAAAACTGGCTTGCAGATTAACAATCTCTTTTTCATATTCTGAAGCCTCTTTGCGCCACCGATCAAGCTCAGCCCTCACTTTCTTAAGCTCTTCTTGCAAAGCTGTGACATCTGTTTCCCTTTCAGATGCAGCTTTTTCTGCCACTTGTTGCAGTAATATGATCTCACTCTGAGCACTAAGCAATTCATTCCGAGTACTGGTAATCTCGTTCTCTTTTTCCTCACGAACATGTTCAATATCTTCCTGTAGCCGACGCAGCTGAGCTGTGAACATGTCCAAGAAATGAGATTTTTCTCAAGGAAATAACTGGCATATTTATATTAATCAGGCATAGCCACAGCCCTATAAAATTAAAGTACCAGAACATTTAAGCTTACGTGAGAGAGAGAGAGAGAGAGAGAGAGAGAGAGAGAGAGAGAGATCTGTACAGGACACATCCTTACAGGATACAGTGATTTAATGCCAACACACCTCTTGCATCAACTGATAATTACTACATTAGTAGTTCTTTTATTAAGCTTTTAAAAAGTAGAATAATCAAAAGTTCACATGTCCAGTAGCTATCGGAGTTTATCACAACACATGGTTCATTAATCTATCCTAAGAATCTTGTACTCAGGGCAGATAAAAAAAATCAATGTTTTTTAAAAATCGAATTGATTTAAATCACGATTTCAATTTTAAAAACTGATATTTTATAAATTAAATAATAAAAAATATTTAAATCATGATTTAAATAAATCTGATTTAAATCAAATCCACCATGCTTGTGATTTTTTAATATCTGTACAGTTAAGTCCTAGGATTTATTGATTTTCAGATACTATCAAAAAGTATCTTCTCTCTTCTTCATACATTTGTATGGAAGCTCTACCCTACTGGGTTGAAATTCTGAACAATGAAATGAGTTGTCAGAATATGCTAGCAATACAGGGAAGATTACACTCTAACAAAGGAACTGTGTTGTTTTTCAATATCAAATAATAGCCCTGGCTATTATTTTTAAAAAGTAATTTGTTACTTTACAAACTCCAAAGTAAAAACATAAATGAAAAGAAAGGGGATGATGGAAGAAATATTACAGATGATGGGAGAGAGATGGAAATTAAGATAAAAGAAGACATCAAATACAGATTAGGAAAATAAAGGTCCAAACAATGCACAGAAATAAGAAAATGTAAAAAAAAATCCATTACTGTTCCACTCTGCAACATAAGGCAGGAGTAAAGCTCTATGAAAGAAGTCTAAAGCCAGTCAGGGTCAGAGTATGGGAATATATAACCAGCGTTCAGGAATGGCATAGAGGGGAAAACAGTCTTGGACCAGAGAAAGTGTCTGTTCAAAAAACACACACATATCCAAACCATGGTTCAAAGCAGCTGGAAGCAAGGTTGTTACGCAGCCCAGGTTGGATTAGCTGGAGATCAATCAGGCAGGGAAGGAAAGTATACTGAATACAAGAACAAAGAAAGTTTTGGCTTTAGCAAACTTGGTCTGAACTTGAGCTGTGGTTTTTCCCAATGTGGTGTAGGTGTCGCCCTTTTCCAGGCGTTATTGTTCTACTATGTGTTACAGCTGGATAGTGTGTCTCATCTTCATCATTTTTTTATTCAGTATTTTGAATCATAGATATTCAGGGCTTATTTCACTTCAGGGCTTTCCCTTCTCACCTGTAGGTTATGGGTTTCTCTTAAAGGGCAAGGCTCTGCTTCAGTCTCCTGGGCTTCTGGCTGCCAGCTGAGCCCTTGAGCCCTTCTTCCTCCCAGGTTTGGTCCTATTGAGGCAGGTTATCCTGGCTTTCCTCCTCAGAATTAGACTGTACTATGTAGGGCATGACAGTGATACTTTTACTGTGCATATAAGGATCAGGGAGGTAACAGGTATATTTAAAAAAACAATAATGCCCACTTCTGATGGATAATAGTAATTCTCTAATATTTGATGTCAAGGGTAAAATCATAATATGAAGTGGGTAACTGAATAGCTGTTTGTACTCCAATATCTTTAGTGAAATACTTATTTACATTATGATTTACATTGCCAACAGAGAGGTTATTAGCAACATGCAATATGGGAGCAATACTGTATAAATATTACTATCTGATCATTTAAATGGTTTGTAAAAGTTATCCATATAGGCAATGACATAAATAATAAACATGGTCTAAAATAAAAGTTAAGAAAGTCTAGTTCATGGTAATCAGAAAAAAGCAAATAACTAAAGGATTTAACTTGAAATTCCAAAGTCAAATTGTATTGCATGCTAATAAATGTTAAGTATCTTGGACTTCAGCTGGATAAACATTAGAATCAGTTATGCAATAACAGTCAGAATAAAAATAGTTCTTTGTCTTTAAGATGAACAATTTAATATGTGTTAAAACTAGGTTTGTGAATCTGCATTGTACAGTGCTCTGAATGCTACTGTATTACAAGGAATTGTGGATCTGAACATAAGTAACTATAAAATAGCTAGAAGCATTTGACATGCTATCTATTGTACAGCTCTAGGAACCTTCTGGATTGAAAGGCAAGCAATGAAAAAATACTAAAGCAAATGACAAAGACTGAAGAAATCCCCAAAACACCATAGTCATTAAATGAAAAGCAGTGTTGCCAATGAAAACTTCAGATTGTTAAACCTCACCATTCAAAGTTAAAATAAACAGAAAAAGAAGTGCAGGACAGAGAAGAATGTAGTGGCTAAGAAACTGTAGAGACTGATTTAGATATCATCAATTGGACAACTTATTTGCTCAGAGCTGCAACATCTAAAGTCAAAGAGCCATGATGACTTCCAACCACTGGAAGGAGAAGGAATGGCAGCAGAATAATTCTTTGTTTGTTTCTGGAGAAACTGATCTGTAACTCTTAAGGGCAGGGCGGATAAAAATCAATTATTTCTTAAAATCAAATTGATTTAAATCATTAAATAAAATGATTTTTAAATTTAAATTGTCAAAAAAATCTTATTTAAAAAAAATTAAATCGATTTGATTTAAATCAAATGCACCCTGCTTAAAAGTGGTTAGTGTTGGAGTAATGAAAATGCTGTTTAAAACGTGGGATTGTGTTACTCATGGTGGAGGGCAGGGAATATTTCTGTTCATAGCCTATGTTTTACTGTTAAACTATTATCTATGTTATTACTTTAAGGACTTCCAAAAGCGACTGAATTTTGTACTACTTTCCAGTCTTCAATTAAATATGCTATTTTGAAAAAAGATAGCTGCAACTGTGGAAGGTAAGTGTAGGGCAGTAGTGCCACCAGTTCCCTTTCTGCTGAGTGCTTTTCAAGTGGAAGAGTGCTTCATCCAAGAAAAATTAAACCAAAAACAACAACACAGCAACGAAGAAAGAGAGAGAAAAAAGATGGTCACTCAAATCTGCATTCTGTGATTTGAAGGGCAAAGGTGAATCCAGCAGAAGTGATTTTTTTTTAAATTACAAAAAGGATGATGTAGACTTAGCATAATCATAAGAATAATAAAAGTGAAATCAATTCAAAGATTACTCTATTTGAGTAATTGCTGGTTACAGACTGATTTGTTTGGCATACATATCTTTACTTTGTCAATTTGTCTAGCCATTTTTAGCAACATGAATATCATTCTGTTTTTTTGAACTTTGCATGAACAATGTTAGCAATTTCTTATTTTCTTCAATTCCATCATCTGGATCTTTTCTCTTAGTTTTTTTTTTTTTTTTTACCTTGAAGAACTTGGATTTGTTTAGTGGACTCCTCAGCTTGCAGTCGATAGGATTTTCTTTCTTCTTCCAACAGAGCTATGAGTTAAATGAAAATATCTGAAGTTTCTATGGATATTTACTTGTGAACAGTTTAAAATTTAAAGGGTGGGGGCTTCAAGCTATTTTGAGTTTAGTAGGTGATTACAAATAATTCTGTCAGAACAAGGTAAGTAAATTAATATATAAAAATAATTCAGTTACTTTGCTAGTTATTAATAAATGTTAAGTTTCTTTTAAAAATTCTAAACCTCTCTTCACGGCACCTTACTTTCACTGCTTGAATTAAGTATTTAAATTACAGTGCAATCATATATATATATTTACTTAGAACCAAGTTAGTGGGCTTTGCTCATAGGTAAATGAATAAAAGTGTGCAGCCTCAGACTCCTTTCCCCCTCCATTACATTAAAATTATGAATAGATTGAAAACAGATTAAAAATGATCAAGCCAAATAGATTTTAATGTGTGTGTTTTTGGCGAAGGTTCGCCTGGTTACTCTGCAGAGTCAAAAGAACCTTCATCTCACCTTGCAGTTCAAAGCATTTTTGTTTACTTGTTCTAGCTAGCTCTTGGGCTTCAACCAGTTCCTTGTGCAGCTGTTGAATTTCTTGTTTAGTCTCTGATTGTGCACCCTGCAATTCATCTGCTAAAAAAACATTTTTCTTTAAAGCATCAGTTTTAGCAATGTTTTAATTTCTACTAACTAGTGAAGGTGTAATCTTAAAAAGTCGTGCAAAATTAGTTAGCACTGAATTAGATAACGGTTAGGAGATAACACATGGTTAGAAATTCAGTCATCCTCTCAAGTCCTGCATGCGGAAATAAGGGTAAATGGACTGGAATAAAGTAGGATTATAAATCTAATCATAATATATTATATCCAATAAGATTTCAGACATGAACAATTCTTCATAAACACACTAAATATAACCTGTATATAGACAATGTTTAATTTGGGGTACTGATTTTATTATCCTTTTATAAGTTAGAAACAAAAGAATAAAGAAAACAACTTAGATCCCACACAGAAATCAAAGCAATGTCTAGGAAACCCCAAGGGATATCCCATGGACCCCTTCTTCTATTCTACTAGGAAATGAACAGTAAACCTTTTCTTAACTCCTCAATAAAACTGAGTCTTCAGCCATGAGACATAAGTGCAATGAGCCCTAAGGAGATTTTAGGTCAAGGTATGTCAGTCCCTCATGCATTTCCAATACAGACTTGAGCCAGAAGCAGCATGTCCCTCTCTTAGATGCAGGTTCCATGTCTTTTTTCCTCCTATATACTATCAGAGTAAATGAACAGCCTAATCATCTTTATCAACTCTGGCAGTCTCAGTGCAAGACACTGCCTATGCTTTTTATGTGAAAAAGTGTCAAAACTTTGGTGGAGAGAAACATCAGTGACAGGTTTAGTGTGCACCCCCAAAACATACTTAAGACTTCTGTATTAGTTCAATGCAGGAGGAATGGATGCCACTGATTTCTGCAGGAAAAGGAAGTCACTGCATAGGACCCAGTGTGATAAATTTCAGTTACTTTTTTACCTGTTCCTCATTCATATGCCTTTAAGTGATCAGGTCTGCAGTGAAAGGAAACAGTGAGGGCGGAAAACAGTCCCATATGCAGACTCCTAAAGAATGCATTATAGGCATGTATTTCTATTCTGTGAGGACATTCATTCATTGTTTCATTCATTCAATTATATTACATTTATAGTCCACCGTTCCTCCAATGAACTGCAAAAGTGACATACTTAGATTTCCTTCCCTTATTTCCATCCTCACAACAACCCTGTATGGTAGGCCAGGCTGAGAAGGAAGCTGACAGGCCCAAGAGTCACCTAAAAGCCAAGGCACAATTTGAATCAAAGTGTCTCGTCCAACACTGTAATTACTAAAGTACTGTGCTACTTTAAATAAAATATATTAACTAAAATAATCTAAATAAAAACAAATAAAAAGCCATGGCACTCAGTTGTTAAGGGATCTGGTGACTGTCATTAACAGAATCAATTATCAATAAATAAAACATATGGCTGTTTGAGAAGGAATTCTCTGAGCTCTACCGTTCAAGAGGAGAAACATGTATTGATATATTCTGCAACCAAAGGAATGTATATTGCAAAAGGTAAGTTATTCCAAAATAATACATTATTCCAAAACTGCTTGTGAACACTTAGACTATTTACTAAAAAGCATAGTCTGTATTAAAATGATTTGTTTAATTCAATTATCAGGTGAAAATTTAATAGAGCACAGAAAAGGATAAAAGGTTTTGATTTCAAAAGAGAATTTTAATTTTTGTGATTTCTGTAGGGATTCTTCTCTCTAAATTGCAAGAAAACTACAGTTTTTAATCTCTCTCACACATCTTCACTCAACATAGAACAAGACATATATGGATTTTCCACCGATGTCTTAGGCACATTTAGCTTTATGATGGTCTACAATTAGTATGTTTATCTTGGAAAAATAGTGTCTTGCGAGGTCAACGCCAAACTAATCCTGAGGCTGAATCCAATTAGTAGCAGACCCTATGAACCAGTGGGATTTGTTAAGTCAACATGTGTATGAATCTCAGTGACTCAAAAGATCTAGACTAGCTGCAATTATGGTTTAGTACTCAGTGGCCGAAACCCCATTGCTTAGCACAGTAAATTGTGCTAGAGTGGGCCCACTCCAAGTTTACAAGCACCCTTCCATATGCAAGAACAAACTAAATGTGATATGGATGATGCATTATCCATTTTCTAACATCTTGATCTTTGTTTAAAGCAGTGGGTGTGGGAAGGAGGGAGGAAATCATGATGTGGAAATGATCCCTGAAGCTACCACTGGAACTATTCAAGGGACAACTGCAGAAAGGATGCTGGCCGAAGGCATACTACAGCAATACAGTTCTGATCCAATCTGTCCAATTCATCTTGCATTTTCAGCAAATATGTTGGGAGATGCAGTCAAAGATTTCCCACATCTTATTTGGACCACTCTAAACACTAAGACGCCTTTCACAGAAGTTACAAATATGTGGAAATGCAGTGGTGGTCAGACTAGGGTTTCTACACTCTCAGTCCCTTGTCATATGGCATGTGGCCAAGGTTGAAATAGGGTTTTGGTCTACTAGCCACTCTATCAAAATGCAGACACACTGCTGCATCATTTCTGATATACATGTGCAATCCTGCGGGCATTATAACTGCACATAGCATGTATGTTAATTTCAACTGAGCTTGGGTCCTATACAGCCAATACAAAAATATAGAGGAAAGTGCATGTGGTAGATGTTTTGATCTTTAAAAAAATCTAGGGCTGTCACATCCTGGACTAGTTCCCCCCCCCAAAAAAAAACTTGATTTAAAGTGGACAAAAATGCAGTTCATTATTGGATCTGGTGCTCAAAGGTTTATTCTGGTGAGCAGTTTTGTTGGCAAATATACATAAAAATGATGCCATCCAAGTTGAAGATTTTTCATTAGACTGAAATAAAAGATTCAAAATAAACCTACCTAGGTTTCTTTTACTGTAATATTAGAAAAAAATCTAGCTAATATTAACACAATTGGAAGGGGAAAGGGTCTACAGTACCCTTTCCCCCTCCAATTGCACAGTACAGTATAGTACTTTGCAGAATATATTGCTTCCAAATAAAACATTCTATGTAAAACTGCACTAGAGTAAACAAACTTAAAGGAACTCTTTACTGTATTGGATTCAGCCACAGGCTATATATATAGTATTCAGAAAAGAATTTTAAAAAGCAATTGAGAACTCTTCAACATTTGGGGGGGGGGCAAAATTGTTTTTCCCACTCCATCATTTTTTTTAGCTATCCTCCAATCTCTCTCTCTCTCTTGTTACCTTTTAAGAGGGCTACTTTAGCAATAGGTTCATTCAGTTCATGGTCATCCATCTGAGCATCTAAAGAGAAAATTAAATTATTTTAGCATTCTGAGCAATGTAATATTCGAACAAAGTTGACACTGAACATAGCCTTACAAAACTGATTAAACAATGAAAATGTATTTAACTGTTTTATCAGTCTTTTAAAATAAAAGCAAAAGCTATTCAAAACATCTTAAAAATTGGTATCAAATGAGTTGGCTTAAACTACATACCTGTAGTGTCGTCACTGCTTTTCTCTTTGCTTGGGCTCAAAGTGTCTGATAGTTCAGCTTCTTTACCTTTTGCCTGATTTTCTGCAAAATAAAGTAATTTCTCCATTAAAATATATAGATATCTGAAACCAATTTGAGTTATATTCTTGTTTTATAAAACTGTACAAATTCAAAACAAACTTTTTAAAAAAGTGAACTAAAATCAATGTTTTCTTCTTTGCGCTGCTGTTCCAACTGGATTAAATATCTCCAGGTCACATATTTAAAACTAAACAATCCAACACAGGATGCAGTTACCTCATGCATAGTTTAGCCTTTTGTTTAAAAGTTGTATTCTGGCCAGCTGGACTCTAGTGTAAAGTTAGTTGTTTTGTTCACTAATTCTGGGAGCAAATCAGGAGAGAGGGACACAGAAAACCCATTCTAGAACAATACTGATATTGTAACATGCTAAACTCAGAACAACAAAAAAGAGCTATTAGAAATGAATGCTGCTTTATGGCAAGTTGTGGTGAGTGAATGAGGGAAAACATTTGCATAATCATAAGATGAGGCATCAAGTAAAACAGTATAAAATTTAAAAGAAACTAACATTATTATTTGCAATTAAGTATGATATAATCCATTTTTAAAAGGCCATTAGTTGGAAATAGACATTCTTTCTACATTAAAAGAGTCCTGATGTATCATAAACTATTCCCCATTCAAACCATCTCTAGATTAATTAAACCAAAAGACTTTTTCATTATAAAAGCTTATTCTATATAGACCTCTTAAGAAAACAAGGTACAGGCAAGTTATAAGAAATAATGTTCTGACAAGACACATTATAGTTCGACAAATATTTGAATTAATTCCAGTATTTTTGAAGGACCGAACCATTTATCTGGGTATAAGAAGCAAAGAAGCAGGTATTTTCCTAACAAACAGCCCCAGGAAGATTTTGATATTTCTGCATAATTTTTTATACTTGCAGATATTTTTTTCATGACAATTTTTGGTGACTTTTTGTTTTTCCCATTTAAATCCATTGAACTGTCTGTTCAATGCGTTTAAAGGGGAAAAACAAAAAATCACCAATAATTAACGAAGACTCAGAACAGAGCCAAATTAAGTTTGCAGATGTTTCACAAGGTGGACTACCGATTCCAAGCATTTAAAACAGGTTTCAAACATTTTAAGACACTTAAAAATGAGCGAAAACGGACATCGTTAAGTGAAAATCCCCCATAGAGAACATCGTTAAACGATGCAGAAAATTCCTCCAAGAAATACATCGTTAAGTGAATTCTTCGTTAAATGAAGCAATCGCTAAGTGAGGCACCACTGTATTTGGATGAGTAGTGAAACATCTCAACCAACATTGTGACCCTTTTCACGGTTTTCCAGGCAGAGAATTCTCAGAAGTTGTTTACCATTTCCTTCTTCTGGCAGTGCTCCAGCACTATGCAGCTTGCCCAAGGACACACAGACTAGCTGAATTCACAGGAGGCATAGTGGGGACTCAAAGTCCCAACTTCTGGCTCCACAGCCAAATGCCTAAACCACTGGGCTATCCAGACAGCATATATATTTAAGTTATGGCATCACGATGAACTGGTTACTGCCCTCCAAAGTTAAGGCTATGGGTGGCTCCAAAATTTAGCAGAGACAGAGAGCAAATTCATTTGGTCCATTTTTAGCACTTAATGGATTTCATTCATTTTCAGTGCGTGTTGGGTAATTTCTACTGATGTGGCTGGCATTTCTATCAACAATCTAATTTCTTTATGGATTTCAGAGATGACTAGAATGCTGCTAAGCAGTTGGTTCCATTCCCTGATTTTTCAAGGGATTTGAGGCAATGAACAGCAAATGCAAATGAACAAAACCTCAGAATGGTCAAATATTGAATACAGCCTCAAAACTGTCAAGGTCACTGGTGACGCAAAGAAAGCAGAAATTCAGCTGTCAAACCTACAGTTCAATGCATTTCAATGGGGGGGGGGGAATTCACCAAAAATTAACGAAGACTCAGAACAAAGCCAAATTAAGTTTGCAAAGGTTTTACAAGGTGCACTAACAATTCCAAGCATTTAAAACATTTTTGAACATTTTAAGACACTTTAAAAATAGCGAAAACGGATCTGTCAAAACCATTAAATGCATTGAATAGGCTTCAATGCATTCCAATGGGGGCGCCGCGTTTCGCTTAGCGATGTTTTCCCATAGCGACGTTTTTTTGGGAACCAATTAACATCATTAAGCGAGGCACCACTGCATTAATCACTTGTATTCTGAAGTGTCTAAGCAATACAGACATACCTAATAAAACCATAATGAATATAGCACAATACTTTAAAGTGACAATTGCATGATAAAAGGAAAGAAACAAAAACACACGGTCATAATCTTCCTGGGAAGGCATGGAAACAACTAAGCTTTCACTACATGTCTGAAATCCCAAAGGTTCAATATCTGTCAGCTCTGAGCTGGGAGAGACTTTCAGTGAGTGGATGCTGTGACATTAATGTTCTTGTTCTGAACCAACAAGCGAGTTCTCTGAAGTGTTCATTATTTTAGACCCTGATGAGGATGGCATCCAAACGCACGTAGGGAGTAAGGCAATCTTTTAAATGCCCTGGCCCTGAATTCCTCAGAGCTTTGTACAGTATACTGGTGTCAATGTCTTAAATGTAAGTTGGCAGCATACAGGCAGTCAATATAGTTTCCTCAGCTAACATTTAGAAGCTCCAACAAATATAAAGTGAAGCAACCACGTAGTTAATTTGGGTTAACTACAGAGAGTGAATTATGGCAGTATCAAGAGCTACCCTGGCTGCCAGCTTGTTTCTAGGCTGAATTCAGAGTGCTGGTTTTAATCACTAAAGCCCTGAATAGCTTCTATTGAAGCTTGGGTAACAAAGGGGACTCCTTCTTTGTATTAGTTTGCCTGCCAAATCAGAGGCCCTGCTTTGGGTATCTATCTTCTGGTACTCAGCGGAGGCACCGAAACTGCTCAAATGTCTCCTAGATATGTGCATTTGACATAATCTTTCTCATAAACACTTTTCATTCATCTGATATTTATATGCCAGTTTAATTTTTTCCACTCCTTGATTTTGAAATTGTGTTATAAGTTAATATGTTAAATTGCTACAAGCTTAAAATGTCTACTAACTTAAGAATGTCAATTTGAATGTGTTCCTGGCAATGTAATTCATATTTCCATATAAAGACATAAAAGGAACAACTGATCCCTCTACGTATGATGATGCTGAGTCACAACAGAACCAGGCATTTAAAAAAGTCTATCACCACTGGATTTCATTCCCTTCCCTTCTCTTTGTTTCTTTCCACTCCCCATTCTCATTCTGGTTTTAGGCTTACCGTATTACCTATACTTTACAGAGATCTGCATAAAATAGTTAACACTGAACACCATCTCAACAGAAGATAAAGAATTCAGTTCTTCAATAAAGGTGCAATGTTCCCTTCCAAATATACAAGACACTTAAAGAGAATTGTGCTTATGCTTCCCGAACATCAGACAGCAAAGCAGAATATTTTTAAAACAGAGGGAAGTTACAACATTGTTTATGATAAGTCGTGGGAAATTGCTATTGAAGAAAATGCATCAAATCTCCTTAGGTGAATCACAAGTTCTGGACTTTGAACACAGCTCTTCAATCTCAGCTCTAGTGCCTAACTTGCAATATTTTTGCATATTTCTGGTTTCCAAAGGCAATGTATAAAATATACTGTATTTGTAAGATCCAGACAGATTTTTCTTTTGGGCCACCCAAGAAAAGAAGTAGTCCAGAAATGTTGTGGATATCGTCACTGAAGATCACAGTATAGTTAGTTAAATCATCTGGAATGTGAACTCCTGTTATATCAGTGCAGAAACATTGAATTGCCCAAGCTTAAGAACGTAGGAAACTACTTTAAACTAGGAGTGACTATTCATCCAAACAGACAGCCCTGACTGGCAATAGGTCTCCAAGGTCTTTCTAGTCCTGCAACTCTTCTGTTCATATATAAGGGCAAATGTTGGGGACTTTAACTGCAAAGCCTATGAGAGCAAACCACAGTTCCTTCCCTTGCAAAAATGAAATAATTCAAATTTAGGTTTATCATATCAGTTAGGTTTTAATGGATGGATTCTATTAGCAACCAGACTCATTTTGTATTATCAGAAATTATGGCACATTGCATAGCCTTTACCCTGTTTTTATCCTAAAGTTATTTAAAACTTCATGACAGAATCTTTTCCATCTTTAGATGGAATGCATTACACATCAGTGCAAAAATAACTCACCATTCTCGAAGATAATACAGGCATGCAAGCATTAAGTTACACTTGTGTTTATTGTCTGCATTCTTTTCCAAATATGGCATGCTGTCTCCACTTTGCACAAACAGGAACACAGACAAATTATAAGTAAACCAATTGCATATGGGTTTTTCAGTGCCCAGAGTTTTAAAATGAGGGGATGACTCTTTAAGATAATGTAACGAATTATTAATAATTCAATTAAAATATGCAGAGTTTAGGGAAAGTAATTCCAGAAAAGCAAAGTTTAAAAACTATGAATATAATATAGTTTGTAGTGATGTGAAAATTCTAATAATAAATTCTTGCATATTGGATTAGAAATTCAAGAATATAAGAATACTGTGGCATTCACCAATAACTACACAATTTGTAAGACATGCTCTGAATCTACTTCCACAGCCCAGGCTGAAAATTAAAAAGATGCAAATGAAACCTCAACCTTGCACATTTTAAATGTCTCTCCATTTATGTCTAGTAACAATAACACATTTGTAAGAACATTTATTTGGAAACATCTTTTTAGGACTGAGAGCTAAACAGCAATGATGGGGTTTACTGCACTCTGTCAAACATCCCCCACACTTACAAAAAAAGTCTATCCCCATATTCAGTTTTTCTCAGATTCTCAAAAACAAATTAATGTGTCTAACCTTTCAGAATCTTTGTTTCGTCCAGTCTGGAAAGATGTCCTTCATCTATGAGCTTGTCTGCTGAATAAAACAAGTGTTACTATCCTAGCTCAAACTGTGCAAGCATTTCTTTGTACACATTTCAATCTACATTCCATGACCAAATTTAAACAGGCAATTACCTCACACTTCTCTGTGTCATAATCAGTGGGATTTTTTATTGCAATGAAGCTATTATATAAAGAAGTTTTATAGTTTTAATTATCTAAGCAAAAATGAGATGAAAAACTAATAGAACATACTGTAAAAGATTTTGGAAACCAAACCCACTGAAGAAAAAAATAGATGTAAAAAAAGCCCTAATGGCCACTTCACAGATATACTGCATAAATATTGCACAGAGTCCAGTTTTTACAGTGTTGGTTACATCATATACCTCTGGTACACATTTTCTGTAGACAAACTATCATCCCCTATTTTTTTGTTGTTGTTGTTGTTGTGGTAGCAAAATTAAATATCTTATCCTGGAAATACACTGATAATGCAGCAGTCTATATTTCAACTTATCAGTTCCTTTATCTTTTTCCAATAATGACTCCCCATAAGACTGAAAAGGAAGAACTACAAGAAGATCGGAACAAGATGCACAAGCCTGGTAGCTTCATGCTTTTTAGGCAGTACAAGACAGTACAAGCGCAGGCAAGAAAAGAAAATTATGTTAACATAACGATGTGGAAAAAATCAGACTAAGGAGGCAAAAGAAAGTATCAGTGAAGAGAACAAAAGTAACAAGAAAAGTGGCAAATTGAGGAGTGAAAGAAGAGCAAGAAGTAGCACAAGACAGATGGGATAGAAAATGGGAAGATCACAGATTCTATAGTACTGTATTCTGAAGGCACAAAAAGCAGAAAACATGGTACAATGAATATGAAGAGTTGTGGAAATAATTCACATAAATTTAAAATGCTGATTTTTAAGCATTAAATACATTTTATTCATGTGCACCACTGAGTGACTGCAACAAAATTTCATAGTTTGTATGTATGAACAACTTTAGCAAACCAAAATTTTAAGTAGTTTGTATATCACATATTATCAACCACAACTGTTTTCAAAGAAGACATTTCACAAATGCAGAAGAAGGTGTAATAGAGAAAGAGTTAGGGCATCTGAGTGTTGCAGATGTATGTACAAAGAAGTTCCAAATATTTTAGAAGGCACTATGTTGCTCCACCTGCTTTTTTGCTGGATAAATCGGAAGGCAGGTAGATCGGGACAACTCAATTAAATAAAAGCCACAACTTTTATTCATGGATAAGGCTGTAATCCCAGGAAAGCCTGTTTAATTTGAGATGTGACTATTACAGGTATTTTCTGATATGTAGTCAGACTAAGGTAGACTAGACCACATTGTCTGCAGAAACAGAAACACACATTCAAGGCTTATGCTACTAAGCTATGGTGAGTTTCCTCCATGAGAAATGAATCTGGTCAAAACAGGTCAGTTTATGAACAAATATGACATATGTGAATAAAGCACAAACTGAACATAAACATGTACCTCATAATTGACCTGTAAAGAACTTGCCTAAAATAGTATTATGTGGTCTATAGATGCAACCTCTCCAAAGGCTTTTAAAAAATGTTCTTGATTGCAGCTGACAGTGCCCAGAAATGTGGTAGGAATGAATTGACCTTTGAAGGGAATACTTCCTTCCAAAGATCTTCCCTTTAAATGTATTAAGGCCTAAGGCAGGGGTCCTTTTTGTATATCTACCAAATATGTGAGCTCACTGTTTCATAACAAAACAATGAGTATCAAATGTAAAACAAATCTTCTCTGCATTACCATCAGGCCTTGAAATAGTTACCACATGCTTCTTAAATTGATAATAAAATAATATCTGGTTGCTGATTAGGAATAATGAAGTCACATGACATCAAATCACCAGATCAAGCTTCTACATAACGTATCAAGGTACTGTCTTGTCTGTAACCACTATGATACTTAGTCTTTTACAGGTATGCTTCCCAGAGGATAGAAGCATAATGACACTTTCTTTTATTACAAACAGTCGGTAAACCTCCATGGGTCTGGGAAAGCTGTGATGGCTGCTCTGTGTCACAGAACTGGTGGCACAGCATTGAGAACCCCCCAATATTTTTACCGTGAAGTTTCAAGGATCAATCTGTTACAGCAAAAACAATAACAATTTTTGGTACTTTAAAGACTAACATTTTTATTTGGCATATTGTTTGTGAAACGTAACCCATTTCACCATACACCTCTGAGTATATCAACTATGGTCTACAGAAGCTTGTACCAAAAAACTAGTAACTGTTAGGGCACTGTAAGATTTTTTTTCTTTTTCTTTTTGTAAATGCTTCTGTTTCTTAGTAAATGTATACACACTCCTTGCATATTTTGTCTACAAGTGTATTCATGCTTCCGTTTTTTTTGCTACAAAGTCCTGCAAAGGAACTACAGTGTATAAGACTGTTAAAATTATTGCTGTAAACAGTAAAATGTTGAAAGAATTTTTTATATTGATGAAACAAAGAAAGAAGTGAATAATGGAAAGATAAATAGACAGACAAAAATGAAAAAAGCGAGCACTGAAATCTGATAAGAAATGTTTTTAAAAAGTCTGCCACTGGGGGAAGCAATGCCAAATACTACTCCCCTACATTTTTTTCCTTATTTGTTACCAGGAAGCACATAATATTTGTAATATAGTAGAGTATCTAATGAGGTAAAACAATGTTGAAGTAAATGCACAGAACTGTGAGATGGAGGAAGAAAAATTTGATATTTCCTATTGAGTTACTGCTTCCCAGAACAGCCTGAACAAACATGTACAGATCATACAGACTTGCCCTCAAATCCTGTCCAAACTGCTTCCAGTGAATATGTCATAATCCCATTTTATGAAACTCTGAAACACATAATCTCCCCACTGTATGCTGTAACCACGCTTGGGAAAACTTTCAGGAGTCTGAATCTAAATCTCCCATAGCACTAGTCTAATATAAGGTTGAACATCCTCAAGTAACTTATATATGTTTAGAAATGCAAATATTACTGCAAAACCAGAAGAGATGTGATGCAACCTCAGAGACAATACATATGATTCTCCTTTTACAGAATGGGTGAGCAAACTCCAGAGGCTTTGGGAGTGTACGTGAAGGGTCATATCTGTTTCTATAACTCTCATTACTCCCCCCAAAATAAAATAAATAAAAATCATGCAAAAATTGGTGGTTTTCAAACGAAAAAGTCCTCTTGTGCCCTCTAGTGACTATAAAAGTTTTAAAAAACATTTTGAAATAGAGCAGTTTGGGCTGCAGAGAGACCAGGGGGCATCAAACATGTCTAAAGAACTGGGCATGTTTACCCTTGAGAAAAGAGGATAAGGTTCCCTCTAAGCCTGCGCACACCTCTGCCTCCCTCTGCACAGCTCTCTTCCTCCTCCATGTAGCAATCATGTTTTGTACGGTTGTGACGGAACTCTGGGTGCAAGGGGGGATAGAGGACCTCTCTCTCTCTCTCACACACACACACACACACACACACAAACACATGATAGCACTTTTCAAATACTCGAAAGGCTGTCATACAGACAAGAGGCAGGATGTGTTCTCAAACATACTTGAGTGCAGGACATACAATAATGAGCTCAAGTTACAGGAAGTCAGATTTCGGTTGAATATCAGGAAAAACTTCCTAACTGCTAGAACAGTACAGAAATGGAACCAATTACCTCAAGAAGTGGCGAGTGCTCCAACACTGGAGATATTCAAGAGACATTTAGACAACCACCTGGCAGAGATCCTTTGATTTGTATTCCTGACCTGAGCAGGTGATTGGACTTGATGGCCTTACAGGCCCCTTCCAACTTCATGATTCAATGATTCTATGTTAGAATTGCCCAAAACATCACAACAAGGGACCTTCTGAGCCAACATTTTTTAATCTTTCTTTAAAAAATATTGGGGTAGGGGTGCTGTGGGCCAAATTGGAATCCCTGAGGAGCATATTGCCTCCCACCTTCCATAGTAAAATGTGATTACTGTGTTCAGCTCAGACTCTAGCAAAAATGGGTTGTTAGCCTATTTTACAATATACCCAAATTGTTGCTCAGCTTATAATAATCTGAATGAAACAATTATTTTGAGATATGCAGTGTAACCAACAACCAAATGTTCTGGTTATATTTACAATTTAATAAATGTCTGACAAACCTCATCCCAACATACAAAAATCATGAGAAATCAATCTTCAGATGTCTCATTCTGGATCTCCCCTTTCCACTGAAGGCTATTTTTCCATAATACTAAACTACTATGGTTACTAATCTAGAAACATATAAATTGAAATCCTGTTGTTTAGTGTAGTAAGTCACAACTAGAGTAGGTGCACATTTGAATCAATGGAATTTATGGAGGAGTTGACTCATCAAATCCACACTGATCCAATGGGCCCACTAAAGCAGTGACTTACTTTGTTAAGCAACAGGATTTTAGCCACAGTGTACTAGATTATGTCTGTTAAAGTGATCCATGACATGGAAATCGATATAGCCTTTTTAAAAAAATCTGATCTGCTTACCATACCTGCAAAATCTGCTTATCGTAACTCTACAAAAATATCACTATTCCCATTCTAGAACAAAATATGATTTTATTTTTATAGACTTCCAGTGTAGGAGAGGAATGCTGTGTACTCACTCTGGCACTCTATGAATTGATGAATAAATGTGCAGTCCCCTCCACTCTTTGAAAGAAAGAGCTCTAGTAAAGAAAGAAACAGCTTTAAGTTCATAGCTCTATTCTTTTAAGGGCTCATATCAAAACTTGTAAGCCCCGCAGGCATGGAGGGGATGTAGATTTGTCAAGAAAACATAAAGATGGGGACACGAAAATACCCCAATGACAATGAAATATAGACTATATGAAAGATGTAAATATAGAAACTTGTGATCCCTGTGATTACATTTTCAAAACTTAGAAGGTTCACATTTTATATTAACTCAAATTAGAAACCACTGATAATTCTGCCACAGCAGATTGTGTGTATAGTATGCTATTCCTAGAAAATTAAATACATGTTTATTTAATTAATTTTCTAGGTAGTTTGTCATTTTGACCTAATTAACATTTGCATTATCTGCTGGGAAGAACCAGACTTAATTCATAATATATACTCATTATAACAGGGTGGAATTGATTTAAATCATGATTTAAATAAACAAACACATATTCTTGACAATTTAAATAAATTATTTAAGACATAATTTAAATCATGATTTAAATCAACTTTAGTTTTGTCCACTGTAATGAATAGTCACCAATCACTAAAATAACAGTTGGAAGGGGTTCCACCTGTCATTTAAGGGTTATACTTAAAGGGACATTTTCAAGCTTCAAGGCTGTGCCATGAAGAAGATTAGTTTCACTATTCACTAATGCATTACCTTTAAACTCTACTCCTTCCCCACCCCCCTCCAAGATGCTGCTGACATGCATTTTACAATCACAGAAATCTTTTAAAGAATGTTCCCAGCCTTGGGGTCCCCAGACATTCTTGGACTGCAACTCCCTGAAGCCTTCACCACTAGTTTGTGCTGGCAAGGGCTTCTGGGAGTTGCAGTCCAGGAATGTCTGGGGACCCAAAGTTGAGAACCACTGCTCTAAGGTCTGTTTGGATAGAAAGTAGCACTTTTATCTAATGCCACCCAGTGGGTTTTCAAGATGAGTGAAATTTGTTTTCACACATTCATATCTAAAGTTTGCCATTTTACCACCCAGATTCAACAACATTTATATCTGGAAAACACAGGTGCCTTCACTCAAACAGGTATACTGAAATCAAACAAGATTGAACACAAGCCTCCAAATGTAGCAGTGTAAACAGACCCCATGCAACTGTACTCTGGCACTAGGAGTTAACCTCCTATGCTAAGGCATCAGGCAACTGCTATTAGAATATGCTCTGACAGCAGGGCAAAGGACCTCTTTGACAACATGAGCAAAGTACAGGGAAGGACTGTTGGAGTTGCGGGACATGCTGAAAAAAAGTGGAGACACAGGACAGAATTTTAAGGGAACTGTATGAACAGAGACTGAGGTAAAATTAGGGAATGTGGGACAAAAAGAATGAGAATAGTTTTGACAAGCAATAGCCATGTGAGATATACCCCACTTCTTTGACAAAGTAGGAGTACTAAGCTCTGCATCACAACAGCTAAAGAGAGGATAGCACTGGACTTGCTTGTCTGCGCTCATAGAAGAATGATAGTCTTGGCTGTAATTTGATGAACAATCTCAAGTTAAAATTAACAAGGATGTAGGAAGAACCATAAAGTTCAGAAGTGTTTTGTTAGGGAACACTGCATCACAGGTAACAAATGAAAGCTGTATGACAGAAAGAGATCCAGAGGATTAAGCTACACAGAACTACATTAAATGAGAAGAAAAGTTAGGAACTAAAGAAGGCAGAGAAGGGAAAGATGCCTACTGTATTGTCTGGAAACAAACAAACAAACAAACAAACAAACAAATAAATAAAAGGAGCTGCTCAATAAGACCTCCGCAGTGAGCCCCTGAAAAGAAATCCTCACAATTGTTCAGATGCAGTTATGGTTAAAAGTATAAAAGAACCAATATTCAAGTTTTGAACAGAAACTGAACAACTTCCCTCTTCTAAGCAGGTTCGACATCATTCAGCAACATTATTAACCCTGCATAAAATCAACTCCAACAAGTTCACTTTGAGAACTAGTTTCAATCAGGGTGTCAGAGTAGCTATAGGAGTGGCAGTATAAGTAATTCTAATTAAGGCTAACAACTGATGCACAGTATCAAACTGGGTTGGAAAGGTAAGCGCAATTTGTCTGCGTGAAATGAAGATGCACATAAGCCTGTGGCCTAGTCCATCCTATCTTTCTTCTGCTGAGTATCAGTCCAGCTGGCAAGGAAGGTCCCTATCCAGTTTTGAATATGTTTTGTCCCACCAAGTGTGGGGATACAGAAGTAAACATTACAAGCAAAACCCTAGGTGTTAAAAAGACTCTTTTGGACTTCAGCAATAGTAGGGATGCATCTTAAAAGAGAAGATTAGTATATCTTAAGAAAAATAAGCTGCACTCAGACAATTGTTTGTACTAAAACTGAAAGAAAATATAGAAAGATTTCAAAAAACTTGATATTTCCATAGCAAAGACAATGCATCAGATCAGTTGACAGCCATATTAGTGTTAAGAGGCATGCAAAAAAATAAAATAAAAAAGCAGCTTTCTAAGGTTGTAATCCTGTACAAATCTATCTGGAAGGAAATCATTTAGTGGGTGTATTTCCAAGTAGATCTATACAGGATTGCACTACAAATAAAAATGGGCATCATTTTGATAATATTGTCCTGCACATGATATTTTCAGCATTTTGACAGATCTTATGGGAGGTTTTGTCATATAGTTAAAAGATTCTAACCAGCATCCATTAAAATTAAACTAGAAGTTATTGGCTAAATTAAACTGCTATCCCAGTGTACTTGCTTTAAGTGCTACAGTACCGACATATTATACTAATAGAGGTATGATACTGGGATGTAGATGTATGATAGTGAGACTGCTTCTTTCGGTGGTATAGAAAGATTTGGGATCAACTTGTTGGCAGAAAACATAGATCCAGCCCACTAGATCTGGCAAATTTACATAAACATCAACAGTGTGTTCAATAATGTTTCGCTCCTTTTCTGGTTTACAACAAAGATATATTAAGACAAAGTAGGAAATATACTCAATATGCTCAAAATTAAAACCACCATCATAACAACAGTAAATTGTTGTTCAGGATACTCTACCTTTGTCTGCACTCCCATTAATTTTAGGAATGAAGTCATCAACTTGTATGCCTAAAATTAACAAACAGTGTTAACTCTGAACATGTAAACTTTATAATATACATAGGTGCCAATTCCTATATTGCTTAGGAGTCAGTTAAGCCCCCCCTTCCTCAGCATTTCTGCTATGTACATTTTCTGGTGGGAAATGGGAGACTGGTATTTAATTTTTTTTCATAATTTTTTTTGCACTTCAACTGTGGAAGTGCAAAACTCACAGCACATCTCTAGCTGACTGCTGTTGCTGGCCTCCACTCCCTATAGCGTGTCCCCATGCTGTAGTACAGGGACCTGGGAGATAAAAATGTCTCTCCTCCCAGCTGGCAGACATCATATATTCTTGCCCCATAGGACTATTTCTCTGAACAAAGCTGAGCATTCTGAGGAATTATTGTTGGTGGTTAGTAGTAACAAGAAGTTGGAAGAAGCACTGGTGAGTTGTGTACCCCTTGAAATACAAGAACAAAGGAAACCACCTTCTACCAACTGGGTGAAAAACTGGTCCATTTAGCCCATTATTGTCTCTGCTGACTGCTAGCAGCTTTCCAGAGTTTCCAGACAGGAGTATTTTCTGGTGATGCCAGAAATTCAGCCCAGACATTATACATGTTTAATATTTTACCACCAAGCTACAACTATTCTCTGATCTATTTATCTCAACCACTCTCCAAAATCAAAAGAATAGACACATTTACATCCCCATATTATATTAAAAGTTCCTTGGAAAATCTGAAACTAGTTTGGTGACATTTTGGGCTGATTCTGGTATGGTTTTACTATCCCTACTATTGAGAAATGAGACAGTCAAAATTCCTTCCTATAACAGAGCAGCAGATCTTGTCAAAATGCTGGAACAACCAAGCTAACACTTTGTATTAAAATGTTTTAAAAACAGTGCCCTCTACTGTTATTTAGTTATAAGCGCTTTGTATTAACTGTCCAGAAATTAAGTTATAATAAGACAAATGCATAATTTTCAAATATTCTTGCTGCCTGCAGGTATTTAACTGTCCAAATGTCCTATGACAGAGATAAAGTAAAAATCCAGCATTAAACAAGCACTTTAATATTAGACCTACCTAAGCTGTTGTGTTCTTTAAGAGCTTTCTCTTGAAGATGTTCTAACCGGACTGTAAACAGAATTCCAAAAAATATGTATATTTCACAGTTTAAAAGAAAAACATATGATTTAAAACATGTTTGGAGTACTGAACTGACCTTGTAAAGCAGTTAGCCGTTCATTGGTGAAATCATTATCCGCTTGCAAAGCCTCTATTTTTGCTTGAAGTTCTTGCTCTCTTTCTTCCATCTCTTCTATTTTATGCTGCAATTCCTTTTTTTCAGCCTGTCCCTTTTGCTGGATTTCTTCTTGTTTCCCTTCAGCTACCTATCAAAAGAAAACAACACAAAGAATAAGCATTTATTAGAAAAAACAGTCAGAAGTCCTTTCTTTTGTTTAAATATGACATCTGAATATCTATTATGCAGGTATACGAGATGTCTAGTTTATTCTCAGAGGAGACCAAAATAAAGTTGTACATTTATAACAGAGAAGTGTTAATTTTTGTCTGTCCATTGCTCCTCACAATAGAACACGATGCAAGCCAGTAGAACTTCCAAAATAAACACATGTACTGCTTGTATGTCACACAAGTAATGAGGCATACATACTTCAACACAAAATGGGTGTTTCACTCCAATGTCCTAAATCACTATTTGAAACTTCTGTTCCCAAAACAATAAACCAAGTTTAATGTGCTATCTTTTTTTTCCTGCTGTCTACTCTCCTTTCAAAGAGAAATGAAGAAGTCACTCCCTAACCTCAAGCCTCAACGTTTCTATTCTGTCTTCAAGCTAGGTTGTTGCATCCTCTTGGAATGCAGGAAAAGTAGCACTAACAATATCTCTTGGGCTAGGGATTGTTTTAACCTCTTAATTTTGACTTGCACACGTCATATAATTAAATCGATGTGTTTTTTTTATATATTAAACTGTATTCCATTGTGAAACAGACTTATGGTTTTGTCTTTTTGCCTCAGCTATGGTATTGTATTTTCTTAATAAACTGCTGTTTATTTGAGCGTACTCCACACTGGAAAAGTACACATCAATAAAATGACATAAACATTATTTATAATCCTATATCTTCCTCTAAGCATCACTCTGATGATCCTTCACTGACTGTCTCACCTAGTCCACTATATCCAAGACTTTCTTATGTGAGATGCTATGTGTTGCACAATAGCTGACACAACTTTTCTTGTTTTTACAATGGTTGAACGTGACTCCATATTAGATCTATCTGTGCTACTGAAGAGTTTTTCCACACATAACTGAAAACAGAAATACAATCTTAGTTCTATGCAGTATTCTATAAGGAACTATATCACCAACAACTACTAAACATCCTTCTATGAGGTTTACTAATTCCTGTTCAGCAAAGATCTGCAAAAAAAAATTAATAAAATTTTATATATAAAAGATGAGCATACTGTCTCGCTTCCTGTCAATCATGATTGGAAAATTAGTGACATTGCCTTTTCAACATATTTATTTATTTATTTATTTATTTTATATCCCACCTATCTGGTTGTGTTAGGAGTTTAGTGCGTTCCTATGGGGTTTTCCTTTCCATATAGCAATGTTTCCGGATAGCGACAGTAATCCTGGAACGGATTAACGTCACTATGCGGGGCACCACTGTACATTTATTGAAGTCACTCCTACACAGCAAAAGGAACATTAAAAGGACATTTTTTACTACTTAATTATTCTCAAAACAGAATACGGTAGGTAAAGTGAATTCTAAGAGAAAAGGCATGGCTTAAAGTAATTCTAAGAGAAAAGGCATGGCATAAATCTCCAGAATTAATGGAGAGGAATCCGCAAATAAGTTGTTTGTTTCTACATCTGAGGCACATGTACCCTCAGAACCTCAATAGTGCTTCATTTTCCATAATGCACATTTTAAGATGTATGGTTTAATAAACAATAATCACACAAATAAGGCTGAAAAGACAGGGGAGGATAACACAGAACACACATGAACATAACAATATTCCTGTGTCATTATTAGGATTTTCCATAGAAAAGGATGAATAGCAACTGCAAGAGAAAAAATATTAATTNTAAATATAAAACACGCATAGCTATCACATTTTTTCAGTACTAAAGCATGAGTTCTGAAAGCCTGTTAATACCTTTAGTTTGTCAGTGAGATCTTTAATTTCATTTACAGCTCCATTGTATTTGTTAGCCAATTCCTGCAATTCTTCCTGAGTCCGTTCATTCATTTCTTTCAAGTGAGTACATTCATCCTCGGTGTTGCTTAAATATAAAACACGCATAGCTATCACATTTTTTCAGTACTAAAGCATGAGTTCTGAAAGCCTGTTAATACCTTTAGTTTGTCAGTGAGATCTTTAATTTCATTTACAGCTCCATTGTATTTGTTAGCCAATTCCTGCAATTCTTCCTGAGTCCGTTCATTCATTTCTTTCAAGTGAGTACATTCATCCTCGGTGTTGCTTAAACTTCTCTGTAAGAAGAAAATTTACACCTTAAAGTCAGAAAAGTTTAAATTATCCTATTTCTAACCTCTTTCAATAAATGTAAAATATATAATTTTTTAATTTAAAGTTGGTATCCAAAGTATTTTCTAGCAACTCATGTAGAATTCGTTATCCATTGGGATTGGGTTTTTTTAAGCCAAACAACAACAAAAACACAAGTATAATCATTGTCCTCTATGTTCACTGAAAGATGTATCTGATTTAAGTATTGTCTGTATAATTTATTTTTAGATTACTTTCAGGCCACAGATTTAAAGAAAAGAAGCAATTAAGCAAACATAAGCCTTCCCCACCCAGCACTCTTCAGAGTACAACTTCCAGCACCCACAGCTGATACTGGCTGGTAATGATATGTCATCCTGGGGTTAAAGCCAACTGCTATCCAAATAAAACAGATCCACTGAATCAGTAGGAAGTCAACACTAATCCCCTTGATTTAATGCATCTATTCTAACTAGAATTATAAATTGGATTTAGTCCCAAAATATCTGGAAAGTGACAGATTTCTAAAAAGTCTGTCCTAGACAAAGACAAAGTAAACTACGGAAAGATATGTCATCCTGGGGTTAAAGCCAACTGCTATCCAAATAAAACAGATCCACTGAATCAGTAGGAAGTCAACACTAATCCCCTTGATTTAATGCATCTATTCTAACTAGAATTATAAATTGGATTTAGTCCCAAAATATCTGGAAAGCGGCAGATTTCTAAAAAGTCTGTCCTAGACAAAGACAAAGTAAGAAACTACGGAAAGTAAATAGTAGTATGATACCACATAGTCCAATTGCATGTTCCTGTTACTGTCAGAGTGATCCATCTTTACCTGCCCATCTTCCATTCCAGAACACATCTGACTTACCATTCATTGCAAAATCTAGCTCTATGACAGTCTGGGCAGTATTAATTGCCATACTGATCACAGTTGTCAGAGCAGAGGGCAGGCAGCTATCCTACCCTTCAAATGGAGCATTTCTAACAAGTATTTGTGTTACATTGTTTCTGTTGTATAATTAGCTCCAGAAGTAATTTTCAGTGTGATATATCTGTAAGTGCTGGCATTAGGTCTAGAAAACCTAAGTTTAAATGTCTACATTGTTACAAAGCTCACTCACTGAACTTGGGAGAACATACTGTACTGGCAATTTTAACATCAGTGACTGTAGGAGCAATTGCATTTAACTTGTTGCTGTTATTATGTGTTGTCAAGCGGATTCCAACTTATGGTGAGTCTATAAATTAATAATACAACCTCCAAAAGGTTTTATAATTACCAGTTCTGCTCAAATCATACAAGCTCAGAACTAGGGTTTTCTTTAACAGTGTGCAGCACTTAATATTAACAAAACATAAATACATACATATATATATTCATGTAACAACCACTCCACTCCTGGATCATTATATGCTCACAAGTTGAAAATAGTTTTTATGAATCTGAACAATGTATTTGAATAACACTGGATAATGAAAATCCAAATAATGTGGCTTCAATTATAATCAAAATCACTGTTTGATTTTTAGATATATGCTATTTTATTATTTAAAGATTCATTTTAAAAGATCTTCTTCACTTTCAAACAGATGTTCAAGTAACATATACTAGCAAACAAAGTAGTAGAAATGTAAATACATAACAGAAAAAATGCAAAGCTCACATAAGCATTTTTTTAAAGATTTCTAATTGGCAAGCTTCCCTCTGCCTTGTACAATTAAACTAAATAATGTCTTATTTCATGCAGTTACAAGAAGGAATCATAGAAACCCAAGACTTACTCCCAATCTTTCTAGGGAACAATTGTGGGGTAAAAAAGAAATCTGTTCAGAATTATAGGTATTTCAGAAAAAACAACAAAGCAAAACATTCTAGATGAGTAAATAAAACACCAGAAACCTACTGATCTGCATAGTATTATGGTGAAATGACATTTTTGCTTGAAGAATGTAGGCAAAATACAACTAGTAAATACCTCCACTTCAGAGAGTTTTCTGACTACTTCAATTTTTTCCTGAAGGACCCGCCTCAGGGACTCTTTGGCAGTTGTCTCATAATTATGTTTGTCTTCCTGCAATGCTATAAGTTCCTTCCGTAAACTGTCTTCTGTCTGATTCTGTAAGTGCAATACAAGATGGCAGAGACTTAAAACATAGAGGTTCTTATAATAATACATTTATTTATTGAAAGATCTGATCAGTCCTAGAACTTCATATATAATAAATCATTTATGCTCCCAAGAATGAAGTACAAAATATAAGTTCATTCACAGGCTGCAGAATTTCCATCATTTAATTTTCATGAGTGCCCTCAGCTATAGTCTTTGATTCCTCACTTCTTTGTGCATTACTTATTTGTTGCTCATGCATTATTATTTTTATAGTGGATTGACAACAACAAAAATTATCTTAATAGACAAATGAATGGCAGAATTGATCATTTTAGATCATAACATAAAGACAGACTGGTTTTGAGGAGAAACAAACAACTTTTGTAAATATTTGTGCACACAAAATTTAGAGTTTTCTATTTCATGATTCCCCTGGCACTCAGCTGGGTTTTATTTACAGACTTGTTTAAATAATTTACTGTATACTCTATTTCTATGAGCAACAACTCTAAAAAACATTTGTATAAATCAGACAGTATTGCAATAAAAACACAGGCAAGGATTCTGCTGGGGATACATGCAAGCACAAGTGTAATCATATAAATCTCATCAGTGAATTTCCACTAATTAACAAATTGCTACTTGCATTCCTGGTTGCATGCCAATCACATGATTTGCCACACAAACAAGAATGCAAGTGGCAGTCAGTTAATTAGTGATAATTCACCACTGCAATTTATGTGATTACATTGATGTGGGTATAAATCCCCAATAGGACTCTGGCCAAAATACTGAAAACAAGAATAGAAATGACAAACAAACCCTGCATTAACATATTTTCCCCAGAACTAACCAGATCTTGGGTAGAAATAGTAATGGCCACTGCCTCAAGATGACTTCAAAAGAGGTTGTTAGGGAGTTCATAGAAGGTAAGTCTACCAGCAGTTGTTAGTCAACTGTGATGAAGGAATGAACCTACATGCTGAGAAGTAAAATATCAGATGGTTGGGGAAGGGGAAACAGCAGGGAGCACCTTCATGCCCTGCTTATAGGTTTCCCAGCAGCACTGATTTGGCCAGTGTGGGAAACAAGGTGCTCAATCAGGTATCCCTTTGACCTGATCCAGCACCCTACATTCTTAGTCAGTGAACAAACAAGTACTTTTATATTACTAATTATTCTAAGAACTCAAATCAGACAAGCAAGGTACCTACTTTTGAACATGCTTGTAACTGGTTTCCCATAACCTCTAACCTTGACAGTAGTCTATCTTCATCTATCAAAGCCTGTTTTTAAAAAAAGCAAATATTTTGTTAAAGCAAAAACATCTGACATACTGAAATACACACTGCAAGCTTCACATACATGTGTTTTTATATAGGGACTGAAATCCTGCTCAAATTGGCATAACATAAAGATAAGCTTGTGGAAATATGCTTGGTATAACACCCAGGCAACCAGGACTATAACTGATTGTGCAGTTCACAACACAGTTGCAATGTTCATGTTGCTTCTGTGCAACTGATCACATTGTTCATGTCACAGTTGCAGAACTGATTGCGCGGTTCACGTTGGGAATGTTGCACAGCATGCCTGGGGAAGCACTTCCTGGATATTACTTCCATCTGCCATGATTTTTCTACCTCTCTTCTGCAGCTTCATTTTACAGTATTTCAGCCAGCATACGAAGTATCTTGTCGCATTAGTAAATCTTATAAATCAGTAGGGTGTTCTCTATTTAGCAAAAGGCTAAAAAAAACCCCCAAGAACCAAGCAGTACACACAATACCTGCCAACTAGTATCCGATGCCTCTTGTGTGACAGCAAGCAATCGCTGCAAGGTGGCCAGCTTCTGTTCCAACATTTGTTCCCTGTGTAAGGCCTCCTGGATTGACCACAGGAAAAAATGTATTAATTCAAAACAGTGGGAAAGTACTACAACACTTTAAAATACTAGGAGTCTAACACGACATTAAAAAAAACCTCCTTCCTTAACATATTGACACAAAATTTTATCTAAAATGAGTTAAAGGAAGACCAGTGAGAGATATAACCATTGCCTTTTGTGTCTCAATGTTTGTGCTTAAGTCTTCAATGTTTTTGGATGATTTCAGCTCTTCAGCTCATTACTGAGTTTTCACTGGGAAATTAAATCTCTGACTGCGGAGTCAAAGGCTGGGAGTCCAATTCTTCACTGTGCCACCTCGACAGGGACTGGACTCGATGATCCATAGCGTCCCTTTCATAGGCTCTGCAGTTGTAAGATTATTATTAACCCCTTCTTCCCATTAAGTAAATAAGATAATATGTCATACAAACACATGTCTGTAGGCATCCTTCAGTCTCGAGAGACTATGGTAATGTGCGCTGAATAAAGGTCTTGGAACAGCACCTAGTGTGGCTAAGAAGGCAAATTCGAGAGTGACAATCCCTTCCACACTGAAAACAAACACAATCTGTCCCCTGTCCAGCTCCCTGATTTTGCTACTTTCGGGACTGCCTCTTTGCCTCGGCCTGCTGAACGAGTGTCTCTTCAAAATGGGAGAGGCCATGCTGCACCGCCTGCCTCCGCACTAATTCTCCATACAGGAGATCCTTTGGAATCCGACCTTCAGCCATTCTCACGACATGCCCAAGCCAATGTAGACGCCGCTGTTTCAGTAATGTATACATGCTGAATATTCCAGCTCGTTCTAGGACTACTCTTTTTGGGACTTTGTCCTGCCAGGTGATACCAAAAATCCATCAGAGGTAATGCATATGGAAGTTGTTCAGCTTCCTCTCCTGCCGTGCACAAAGGGTCCAGGACTCACTACAGTACAGGAATGTGCTCAAAACAGACTCTATATACCTGGATCTTGGTATACGCCGTCAGCTTCTTACTAAGCCATACTCTCTTTGTGAGTCTAGAGAGCATGGTGGCTGCTTTGCCAATGAGTTTATCCAGCTTGACATCTAGACAGAGAGTGTCAGAGATTGTTGAGCCAAGGTACACAAATTCATGAACAACCTCTAATTCTTATGTGGAGATGGTAATAGAGGGAGGTGAGTCCACGCTCTGGCCCATGACTTGTGTTTTATTCAGGCTGATTGTTAATCCAAAGTCTTGGCAGGCCTTGCTAAAGCGATTCTTGAGTTGTTGGAGGTCTTCAGCAGAGTGGGCAACAACAGCTGCATCATTGGCGAAGAGGAAGTCCCGCATGCATTTTAGCTGGATTTTAGTCTTCGCTCTCAATCTAGAGAGATTAAAGAGTTTTCCATCTGATCTAGCAGAGATACACATTTTCTGTTGCAGTTCCAAGAGCATGCTTCAGCATGACAGCAAAAAAGATCCCAAATAGAGTTGGCACGAGGACATAGCCCTGTTTTACTCCACTTCGGCTGTCAAAGGGATCTGAAATCTAGAAAGATTAAAGTTTTCCAGCTGATCTAGTCCAGAGATAGATATCTTCTGTTGCAGTTCCAAGAGCATGCTTCAGCATGACAGCAAAAAAGATCCCAAATAGAGTTGGTACGAGGATACAGCCCTGTTTCACTCCACTTCGGATGTCAAAGAGATCTGATGCTGAGCCATCAAAAACTACAGTGCCCTTCATTTCCTCGTGAAAGCACCTGATGATGTTAAGGAGTCGAGATGAACATCGAATCTTGGGAAGTATTTTTAAAAGACCGACCCTGCTAACCAAATCAAAGGCCTTTGTGAGATCTATGAAGAGTGGTAGAATATACCAGATGGGCGGGATATAAATCAAATGAATGAATGAACCAACAAACAAACAAACAAATAAATATGAAGGCAGCAAAGAGTGGCTGTTGGTGCTCCCTACATTTCTCCTGCAACTGTCTGAGGGGAAATACGTCAATGGTGGATCTATTAGCTCGAAATCCACACTGTGATTCTGGATAGACTCTGTCTGGAAGCATCTGGAGTCTCTTCAGCACAACACGGGCAAGCAGCTTCCCTCCAACGCTGAGAAGAGAGATGCCATGGGAGTTATTGCAGTCACCCCTGTCTCCTTTGTTCATGTACAATGTGACAATGTTTGCATCCTTCATGTCCTGTGGTAGTCCACCTTCCCACCAGAAAAGACAAAAGACTTCATACAGTTCGGTGGTGATGATTTCCTTACAGCAGTGGTCCCCAACCTTGGGCCTCCAGATGTTCTTGGACTACAAATCCCAGAAGCCTTCACCACCACCTCTGCTGGCCAGGATTTCTGGAAGTTGAAGTCCAAGAACATCTGAAGGCCCAAGGTTGGAGACCACTGCTTTACAACACTTCAACAGGGGTGTTATCCTTTCCAGGTGCCTTGCCGGAGGCGAGGGAATCCAAGGCCACATTTATTTCTGCCAAAGTTGGTTCGCTGTCCAACTCTTCCAAGACAGGCAGGCACTGGATGTTATTTAATGCCTCTTCGGTTACATATGAACACAAGGTTTACATCAAATCTGGGCAATTGTTCATGACCACCTGTATGAATGGATGTCTGTTGCTTCATATCAATGACAATGACTTGTTTGGTTGGCAGTGGGAAGTACTGTAATGAAAGCTGTAAGCATACATATATACATTCCTTGGGTCAAGGTTTAAACACCTGCATAAGAATTAAGAGATACTAAAAGAAGAAACAATGGTAATATCTCATGCCTTATTTAATATAAAAGCAGGCAAAATCACAGTACAATTACACTTTCTCTTTCTGTTCTGATCACAGTATTTTAAAGTCCTCATGCAAGCACAAGCATGGATACGAGCCTTCTTTCTTTCTTTCTTTGGTTGCTTGTTTGTTTTTTGTTTGATTTATACCCCATCCATCTAGACTGAAGTCTACTCTGGGTGGCTAACAATAGATTTCACTTTAATATTCAGAAAATACAAGGTACTAAAGAGGTCCCAAATGCCTTAAACATCTAGATACTGGGAATGAATGTCAGAGAAGAGGATACACAATTACACTCTGCTATTACAATTTCCTGATGCACCTGTGTCTGGCCATTACTAATGAAATTGCTAATTGGACCACATGGTACAGTAATTCTTATGTTCTTTTCAGGAGCAATCTGGCAAAGAATTTAATGAGAAGAAGCTTCTTTAAAATACTGTTACCAGCTGTCACTCTTCTTTCAAAGGTTTAACTGCACTTCTCTGATAGCCAGACTAGTTAATATACTTATTTAGATCTATTGCTCACACTGCGCTGAATGGCACCTGGATTTCCCAAGACACTCAGGGAGAGGTCACAGCCAAGCACCAGTTGTTAACAAATATTCTTATATGAGATATAATGCTTGTAGAAGTATTTACCTAATCTGCACTTAACACTTTCAGGTATATTTCTATAGTTTCTTATACATACATCTCCCAAAGTTTCTTATACAGTGATGCCTCGCTTAGTGATTTTAATTGGTGCTAAAAAAAACCAACGCTATGGGAAAACATCGCTAAGCAAAACACGTTTTCCCATTGAAATGCATTGAAAACCAGATAATCCGTTCCAATGGGAACGGATTGCCGTCCTTAAGCGAAAATCGCCATAGGAAACATCGCTAAGTGAAACGCGGTTCCCCTATTGAAATGCATTGAAACCTATTCAATGCTTTTCGATGGGGGGAAAAATTACAACAAATTTAAAAAGAGTCAGAACAAAGTCAAATTAGTTTAACAAAGGGTTTATTAAGTGCACTTATGATTTCAAGCATTATAAACATTTTTTAAACATTCTTAAACATTGAAAAAACAGCTAACACGAAGCTGTCAAAACGCTCGTTTAGCGAAACAGGGGGACCCAAACTGTCATCGCTATGCGAAGCAAGGTCCCAAACATCGCTATGTGAAAATCGCCCATAGGAAACATCGTTAAATGGAGCGCAAGATCGCTCCGAAAAAGCCATCGCTAAGCGAATTCGTCGTTAAACGAAGCGCTCGTTAAGCGAGGCACCACTATACATACATCCCCCAAAATGTGCCGCATAAAGCATATTTATAAGAAATCAGATTACACTGTTTAATCCAGAACTATATACTTTCCTTATCCAAACTTATTTTCTAGATGTAATGAACTTGAGATAAAATGGAATGGACCTGAGACCTCATATATACAAATAATGTGCTCTTCCCATTTATGGATGTGGCAGTTCTTATCACTGTAGGCTTTTCAGAAATCTTAATGCCAGAGTGAGCTTCTGGAGAACTGCAGATGAGGAAACAAAACCCATTTCCCAACAAAAAGATTCAAAGTTCTCTTTACAGCAGCCACTAGATGGTGCACATCACCCTTCCCCTTTCAATTGTGCTGGTAGTCACTAAAAGTTTTACATGATCTATCTTCAGCTCAAAATACAACTGCTCAAATAAGCTGCCTGCAAAAAGATTCTGCAGAGAAAGAACCCAACCCAAGCTTGCAAACTGGCACACACAAGGCCAAGATTAAAACTGCTAAATCCTTCCAGGTGCAAATAAGATAAAGCAGACATGCTGAACTCCACAAGAGAAGAGTAAGCAAATAATAATAATAATAAAAATACATATACAGATGTATCACTGCCCCTACAGGAGATTTGAGTGCACTTAGTTATATTCTTTATGAGTACATATGCTAGACCTTTTCCTATATAAGTTCTGGCAGGATATATAATGAAAACTGAGTATCAGGCTTAAGGCTTCTAGAGGGAACAAGTTCACTCCTGGAAGCTGAAATGTTTCTGTCTGCCTCATTACATCATCCAACAGTTTAGCTAAGTGGGAAGATATGTGGAGTCCAGGTTTCCTCTTCCCCACCATCCCTTCCCATGTTTTGAAACAGATGAGTAAAAATCTATACATAGTTATAGTATACAGTTACTAAATATGACTAAATTTCCATATGAATGTAATATGATTAAAATTGAGCATGAACTGATAATCAACTGATAATTAATATTTTTACATTTTTATAATGTATTTTAAATTATTTCGTTTATTTTAGATCTATTTTTGAATCTTTGTTATATTTTATGCTGTTACAATTATTTTTGTATTTACAGTCGTGCTGCGCTGGACGATTAAGCCGCTCTACGATGAATCTGCTTAACGTTGATGTTTTTGCGATCGCTTTTGCGATTGCAAAACGATGGTTTAAATCAGGGGTCTCAAACTGTGGCCCTCCAGATGTTCTTAGCCTACAGCTCCCAGAAGCCTTCAGCACCACCTCTGCTGGCCAGGATTTCTGGGAGTTGAAGTCCAAGAACATCTGGAGGGCCACAGTTTGAGACCCCTGGTTTAAATGGTTTTTTTTTCATTTCACGATGATTGGTTCCCTGCTTTGGGAACCGATTTTCGCTTTACGACGATCAGCAAACAGCTGATCGTCGGGTTTCAAAATGGCCACTGACTGAAGAAAATGGCCCCCTGCTCTTTTTAGGACTGATTTTTCGCTTAACAGGCACCAGAAAATGGCTGCCGTATGGAGGATCTTCTCTGGACGAGGAGGTATTCAACCCATTAGAACGCACTGAACGGTTTTCAATGTGTTTCAATGGGTTTTAAAAAAAATTCATTTGACAACGTTTTCACTCTACAGCGATTTCGCTGGAACGAATTAACGTCGTCAAGCGAGGCACCACTGTATGTCTTGTAAAATGTCCAGAGTGGCCTTCAGTCAGATGGGTGGTATATAAATGAAATAAATAAATGATAAGAAAATAAGAACAAAGGAGAAGAGAAAAACCATCCTAGAGTTCTAAAGTGAAGATAGAGCAAATTGGTAACTGTTCAATTTGGTTCCCCAGCACTTGGCACACTCATGGCACTTTGTCTACCCAGTAAAATGGTACCCAAGTAACTTAATAATCCCACTGGTGCAAGGACCCAGTTAGTCAAAGTAAAGACCATAACTATCATAGCAGCATCATGTTAGTCCAATATTTTGCGGGTCTGGTACTTTTGAAAAAAGTAGATGAAATAGGAATTAGAAACAGATCAGGGGTGTGGGGCTTCATGTCATCAGTACGCTGATGACACCCAGCTCTACATCTCCTTTTCTCCAGCAACAGTGGATGCCGTTTCGCCCCTTCAGTGGTGTCTGGAGGCCGTATTGAAATGGATGCAGGTGAACAGTTTGAGGCTGAACCTGGACAAGATGGAGGTCCTGAGGGTGGGTGGCCTCGATGTCACTGGTTTGGAGAACTCCCTCTCTTTGGGGGGGGGGTGACTCTCACCACAAAGAATTCAATTCGCAGTCTGGGGCTCCATCCTGACCCGGCGCTTACCAGGTAGCGTCAGCAGTCTATACCGCCTATTTTCATCTTCAGCGGATTGCCCAGCTGCGTTCCTATCTTGATGTGGGGGTCCTAATCACTCTGGTCCATGCGCTTGTAGTCTCGAGATTAGACTACTGTAATGTGCTCTACGTGGGGCTACCTTTGACATTGATACGGAAGCTTCAAACGGTGCAGAATGTGGCAGCCAGACTTCTTACTGGGGTGAGAAAACATCAACGTATCTCCCCTACTCTGGCTGCCATGTATTGGCTGCCTGTTCATTTCCGCATTGATTTCAAAGTACTAATGATGACATATAAAGACCTAAACAGTTTAAGGACCTCAATATCTGATGTTCCTAGATCTACCCGAATCACTCATTCTAGCCAGATGGGCGGCTGAGGGGCCTGATGCCGAGGGAGGCCCGAAGAGAAAGAACAAGAAAGCAGGCCTTCTTGACACTGGCCCCTCTCCTCTGGAACAATATCCTCCCAAAAATTTGTCCCAAAAACAAAAATTTGTTTTTAAGAGCCAACTAAAGACCTTACCTCCTGTCAATACCTAATTTATTTGCTATTTTCAATTGTATTAGTGCTGTTGTTTTATTTTATTTTATTATGCTTTTGTGTTGTTAGCTGCCAAGAGTAGACTTTGGTCTAGATGGGCGGGATATAAATTAAATAAAATAATTAAATAATAAAATAAATAATGCCTAAAGGCTAAAGAGTACTTAAAACAGTGGATCCCAGCCTTGGCTAACCCAGATGTTCTTGGATTTCAACACCCAGAAACCCTGGCCAGTAGAGCTAATATGAAGGCTTCTGATAGCTGCAGCTCAAGAACACCTTGGTTACCCAAAGGATGAGAACCATTAGTTTAAAGCTATAATGAATTGTTACTTTTTAATTATGCATTTAGAAATATTTTCCCTGCTTTTTGATTGTGCCTTTTAAGACTATAAGTTTCTGTATTATAAGCTCCTGCTCCTGTAATCAAAAAATTATTTTCAATTTTATTGTACTTTTTATGCTCCTGTATTTTGGACTGAAAATTTGACTTCAATATTTGTTTGAAATTTAAGTTTAATCTGATATACTTCTAAGCATTTGTTCCTACAGTCTTTCTTATAGCTATAAGAATGTTTTTAATAGATTTTGAAATGCTACTTCTGCTATTTCATTTTATGCATATGGAACATAGTGCAACATAGATAAATAAAGCTTGTAGAAATAGACAAGCTGATATTGCTTGGAACTATTGGAACAATTAAAATACTTATTTATCTTGACACTCAGATGAATTTTGATATGATTGGAAACGGTTATCTGGTTTCATTCTGGAATTATGCATTTTTCTGTGACAAATGTCAGCTGTGACGAATATAGGTTTCAAATTTTTCTTTGAGGTTTATAAAGATCTATAGGGCTCTTAGGAAGTTGCTCAAGCATCAGACTTTCTGACCTGACATTACCAGATGTGTTTAACTGTGCATGTTGGGATAAGTAACTACATGAATTATGTTACTAGTCTAACCACTTTCAGCCTTGTTCTTAAATCAGCCACTATACAAAACTACACACAATTTCACTAGTCAAATCTATAAGGCAAAGGAATAATTTGATTTTTAAAATTACCTGTAGATATTGAGAAAGCTGAAACAGTTCCTGAGAATACATACTGGGAGTGTTAGCAGCAACCTGTACAATTGAAGATAAAAAGGTATCTTGTTCATATTATGTCAAGCTTTAGCAAGTATCTGTAGAACCCATAATACTTTAAACTCATAAAATGTATTGAGAAAATCCTCCTCTTTATTCTTGTTGTACCACTTCCTTTCTTTTTAATCCATTCAAAGAATTCTACATGATCTATCAAACTGAATATGTATCAAGCCTGTTAGCATTAGTAAGTACTGTACTTATATCATTTCATAGGAAATTGCTATGCATGATACGTTTTGGGACTGTACTCAAAGCTGCACTAGGTGAGAGGAAAAAAGTAACAGAGAGTGGTTGCAGCTAAATTTTGTTAATTCCTTTAATTTTTGTATTTGTCAACACACATATTATTACTTTTATTAATGCCCGAAATCTTTTTCAAGGAGCTATGTCACGCAAGGCCGATGATGTATTCAGTAACAGCAATTTCTCAGAAATAAAAAAATTCTGGTTCCCCTCAAAAGGGCCTGAGGTTCCGTGGGATCCCTTTTATCATGAGGAAGCTGTTGGGGGCCTGGGATGGGGGTGTGTCTTAAATTTCTAAAAAATTACTCCTGCCTGGTGGCAACAATTTTGCAAAACTGAAGATTCCCCTTCCCCCAATGCCAGAGCCCCCTACCGCTTCTCTCTGGTGAAAGGGATCCCACAGGAGACCTTCAAGGAGGGATCAGAATTTTTATATTATTTCTAAAAAAAATCACCTCAATTGGTAGCAGCAATCTTATGCCGTGTACATTGCAGAACACCATTTTGGACAATATTTTAGAAACATGATGAAACAACCTTCCAAAAAGCATAATCTAGTTGCTAAATTTCAGATTTATATCTGAACATGAAACGGGGCCAGTTTGCTTCAACGAATATAGTGTCACTGATCTGTTTTCAATACAGTTTTTGTGGATGAAAAAAGAATGCGATTTTTCAGTAAGAGGGTGAGAGGAATCCACCTCCCACCTGTATGCCATCCTCTCTATCCTGGGAAAGGGAGGGCCTGACTGCGAAACAGGGAGGAGGGGGGAGGGGAGGGAGGAGAGAGAGAAAAAAGACCCTACAGGAGAAAGAAATAATTTGGGGAGTGGGAAAAGTTGATAGTGCCCAGGGAAAAAGCAGAGGAGGAGAAGGAGACAAAAAGTACCAAAGGGGGTGAGGAGAGACAGAGAAAACAAACCTTGTCCAAAGAAAGGGTGAAACGGCTGAAAATTAGAGGGTATGTTGCAGGATCCTTCTCCACAGAAGACCCATACAAAGCCAGACCAGAAAGAGAACTCTGGGGGATCTCGAAAGGTGAAGAGTGGTGGAGTCAAGAATCCATGCCACTGCTGTCAATGTTGTTGCCACCGGGATCAACATCAGGAGTAAAGCTTGAGGATAAAGACTCTTTGACTAATGAAAGGGGAAAGACCCCTAAGATGGACATCCGAAAACCTTGCTTAAACAACTTTGCAACTTCTTCAACTGTACAAAAATTGCTCATGGCACATAGTAGGAATAGTTCCTATGGAGCGCACCATCTGATCTGGTTACATAGGACCAGTTTTAGTTGGTTTGATCAAATGGGCCTGAAATGTAGGCAAGTATGATGGCAAGGTCAAGTTGCTTAGAGCTATTAGTCTGAACACTTCTGCTCTTGATCCTTGCTAATGTTAACTAATTACACCCAACCCAAAGGAAATAATTAAATAGTTTGAGTTTGAGCTTCTTTGGGAGCAGGCGCACTACTACCTTTTTAAAAGATGGAAAGCATAATTTCTCCAAGCAAAGAAGACTCTAACCCTACCATGCAATCAAAGAAGCCTAGATGGGCAATGCTTGAAAGGAGACACAGGGTGGTTATGCTGTTACACAGGCAATGAAAACATCTGAATTAATTTAATTATCTTAAGACACAAATAGGCTTTTATGGCAAGAGACACTCTTTCAAGTATTTAAGAACCAACCCAAGAATATACACCCACCACTTCATATCTTTGTTTACACACTCACATCACATATCTGTGTAAACATTTTATCTATTCAAACTGCTGTATCCAATTTTTTAAGTAAAGGCCCCAAAGCAGTATTTTTACAATTTCAAGTGGGATGGTAGATTAGAGTGGGTTATGAGGAAATGTACTGATTAACCACTATACATTTCATAATTTTTAAAATACCTCACTCTTTTCTTTAAAAAGGTTTTTTGACATCTATCTGGCCAAAGCAAAAAATTGTTCAAAGACTTACCTTATCAACAGGACTTGGTAATGGAGCATGGATGACACTGCATGAAAAAACATCACAATATAAATAATATTCTCCTTCTATTTAACACATACTAGAATTGCAGAAATTTACTATTCCCACAAAGCTCTACTCCTTAAGTGTTCATAATAATTACTGCTCATCATATTTAGAGTGTGTTAACAGGGCACACCCCTTCAAAGATTGCTGCCTTGTCATGGCGAAGGGGCTTGAGTAATTCAGAGAAGCTATGGGCTACGCCGTGCAGGAACACCCAAGACGGACAGGTCATGGTGGAGAGTTCTGACTAAACGTGATCCACCTGGCCAGGAACTGGCCAGCCACTCCAGTATCTTTGCCAAGAAAACTCCATGGACAGAAA